ATATGTTAAGAAAAAAGAAAACGAAGAAGATAGCAGGAGGGGAAGAATGAAGGGGAGTAAGTTGGACGGGGAGACGAACCATGAGAGGTGATGGACTCTGAAAAACAAACTGAGGGTTCTAGAGGGGATGGGTTAGCCTGGTGATGGGTATTAAAGAGGGCACATTCTGCGTGGAGCACTGGGTGTTATGCACAAACAATGAATCATGGAACACTACATCAAAAACTAATGATGTAATGTATGGTGATTAACATAACAATAAAAAATTTTAAAAAAAGAAATCAGCTTCTCCTTTCTAAAATGATCATAACAGTACCAACCTGACAGAGTCATGGGTGTGAGGGTGAACAGATAATGCGGCTACAGCACTTAGCCTGGAAAACCTGGTGTATGGTAATTCAAGGAAAGTCAGCCACTATTATTGATTGATTTCACACTTGCACAGTTTTAACCACCATGTGTGAGCGGATACTCCCAAATTCACATTTCTTTCTCTTGAGCACTTTTTTTTTTTTTAATATTTTATTTATTTGGGAGAGAGAGAGCGTGAGCAGGGGGAAGAGCAGAGGGAGAGGGAGAAGCAGAGTCCCTGCTGAGCAGGGAGCCCAATGAAGGACTCAATCCCAGGACCCTGAGATCATGACCTGAGCCAAAGGCAGACACTTAATAGACTGAGCCACCCAGGCTCCCCTCTCTTGAGCACTCTAATTCGGCTTGTCTACCTGATGGTACTACAGCCACCTTAAATTGAAATATATCTAAAAAATCACCTCATCCCCCTCACCCTTTAAATCTAGTTCTGCCTGTGTTCCTCATTGTTGTTGAAAACGCCACCATCCACTAAGTCACCTAGGACAAAGCTCACTGTGTACCTTCTACCCCTGGTAAGGAAGCGGCCCGGATGTGGGGGAGTGATTGGCAGAGCCTCTAGAACCTGCATCTTCAACAGCTACACTATTCAGCTGTTCTTAGGGAGAGCAAGTAGACTTCAAAGAGGAGGTCACTGGGCACAGAATCCTCAGGAACACTAGTATTTAAAAGGATTGGTGGACGATGAGAAATACATGGAGTTGAAAAAAATGAAAAACCAATCAGGGAGGTAGAAGAAGCCAGAATTTTCTGTTATGGGGGGGGACATGGGAGGAAATAATTTTTATTTTTATTTTTTTTTAGATTTTATTTATTTGGGGGGAGAGGCAAAGGGAGAGAGACTCTCAAGCAGACTCCATGCTGACCACGGAGGCTGAGGCAAGGCAGAATCTCACGACCCTGAGATCATGACCTGAGCCAAAACCAAGAGTCCAACACTTAACTGACTGAGCCACCCAAGCACCCCCAGGGGAGGAAAGAATTTCTAAAGAGAGGAAGCAATCAAGTAAGATGAAGACTGAAAAATTGTTTTGGATTTTGCAGTTAGAAGATTGCCAACGACCTTAGTGAGAGCAGTTTCAGGAGGGTGGGTGGGGGCAGCCAGAGATGGAGTGGCTGGAAGAGAAGGGAAGTCAACGGTGACTTCAGAGTACAGCATCCAAAATGGGGCGGGGTGGGGGGCAAGGCCTTGAAAGACAGAAAAGGAGAAGGGTTATAAGAGGTGATACCCATTTTCAAAATGTCAGAGATTCCCCATCTTTTTAGTGAATAGCTCAATCTGTTCCTCTTGAAAATGAGGGCCCCTGAAGGGCAGATGCTTGATGATGTAGACAAATTCAGATGTTTACACCGAAATGAGCCAGAGAAACAAAAGCATGATTCCTTCTTAGAAAAGACTGTGAATTTCCTCTCAAATTCTTAAAAATCTGTGAGCATCTGAACTCCGGGCCATTTGGCAACGGGAAATGGGAATAGCCATGTGCTTAACCAAAACGGTGTCCTCCTGAATTCTTTCTTGAATCAATCAGTAACACTGTGGTGGTTCTCCTGTGGTTCAACTTCAGTGTGGTGAGAGGTCTTCTGCACTGAGAAAGTACAATGTTATGAACAACTGGGGATCCAACAAATAGGGTCTTTCACAAATCCAGGATTTGAGTCAATCTAAAGGTTTATGTTTTTTTTTTTTTTCATGTTTCTAAGACTTTGCACTAGAAGTATGCCCAGCACTGAATAAATAATTATTGGAATAAGTGGAATGAACCTAGCTATCAGATGACATTAAACTAAATGCCCATACTTCCCTTCTAAAAAACCCGTAAGCCAATAATGGTTAAAAGAAGAAAGATGAAAAAATTCAGTCTTGATTATATCATGCAATGACTGTAACTTGCTAAATCCAGAGCACAAGCCTCCTTGATGAATCATGCACAAGAAGCTGAACAGATCAACCTTCTTTTAACCCAACCAAACTGACACTTTCCCCCCTCCTCTGCGATAAACGAACTTTTACTTTCCATATTTAGATAAAACCTCAAAATCGTTATTGGCACATAGTTAGGCACTGCAAATTTAAAAATGCTAATTAGTTAACTAAATAATATTTTGCCAAAAATTTCAGAGGGACTTCATGAAGGACATACCTACATCACACAGAACCTTCCTTAAGGCCGGTGGGATACTGTTTACCTCATTAATACAGAACCTAATGGTAGCAGATATATTTTCAAGTATGCTGTGTTTACAGGGTTGCAATACAACTTGGCTTCCTGGCAGACTGTCATCCACAGCACAGGCTTGCCCCCAGTGTGACCTTGTACATGTGATGACGAGGGTTTCGTTGCCCATAATGGGAAAGGACAGACACTAACATTTACAAACAGTCCACTACTTGCCAGGACCTATTCCTAAATTTTTCCCATTTAATGCTCAGGGAGTCCATGAGGTGGGTATCACTTTTCTTTCTGCATGAGGAAATGGGCGAGAAGACGGCAAGCAACTTGTCTAAGGTCATTTGGTTATTAACTAGCCTCGTTGGGATTCATAGTTCAAATGTGTGAAAAATGTGTCAAACTCCAAAGCTCATGCTCTTTCCACTATAGCACATGGGGATAAAGCTATTCCAGACAACCAACCACGAAGAGGCAGAACAATGTTAAAAGAAAAAAAATCTAAGTGGTTGTCATAATAATATTATTATTGTTTAGTATTGCCTAATTATTTGTTTGGTTTGCAATACCAGTGTAACTATATATGTGTAACTATATTTATATATATATGTAACTATGATGTAACTAGTATAACTAATATCAAAGCAGAGCTATTATGGCAATTTTGAGTCAGAAATAAAGTAAAAAGAAAATCAATATAAAATAAAAAAACCTGAAACCAAGAGATAATTCTGAAGCCAATAAGATTTATTAAAGGCATTCTCTTTATAACATTTATCAGTGCACATGATTGTAACAGCAAATATATTTTCATCATTCATTTGAATACCGTATAACAAGTTACTTAAAAGTATAAATATATATATATACAAAATTTTACAAAGACACTAATAGGTTTCTGACCAATGAAGTCATGAATTTAGAAAGCAGGAAGTAAAGATTAAGTACCAAACATTAAGATGAAAACTACTGTATTGATACTTTCGAAAGTTCTTCCAAGAAGTACAACGTTCAGGCAAAGTTCTTATATGTACATCGATACTTCATGAAACTTGATAGCAAAGGTGCCACTTGGCAGAACACTGACTATTTAAAAATATGTTTAGCACTTCAGAAGGAATACAAACTCAAATGCCAGAAAGAAAAGGAAAAAAAAAAAAGAGAGAGAGAGAGAAAGAAAATTAAAGCAAATTTGCTACACTGCACCTGGCAACACAGCACATGGTTTATTAACATTGTTCTGCCTACAGTAACCAGTATTATCAACAATCTCTTCCCAGCAAGGCAGTTACCGAATTTATTCATGCTACTAATATCCAATTTTCACTTGTCAGGCCAAATGTACAAGTGATATCTGCAAGTGAAAAGGGCACATGAAAAGGATCAGTTTATTTAAAAGAATTATTCTCCAGGAACTGCTCAATATCACCCAAGCAGAATCACTAAATATCTTTCCAAACTATACATATGTGTCAAAAACGTCAAACTATTTCCTTAATGAAAGATCCCAAAAGGAGAATATTCTCTTTATTACTTGATTCCAAATCAAGGTTTTTTTAAACTGTGAGATAGGATAAGGATCTTTAATCTTTACCAAATCCTGTTCAAACACTTTCATTACACCTTTAACAAAACAAGCATTATCAAGAAAAGGTCCAGCCTCTGATTTCCTGACCCCATTCAAAAGGTGAGTGTGATTCTGGCAATATTTAATTGGTTTTAAACTATATTCATACAGCCCCATTATGGAACATAGATAACATAGTGAACTATTATGTCAGCAAGACATTTTATTAACATCTAATTATTCTCATACTTAGGTAACTACTTCTATTTGGAAAGAAAAGGAAACTGCCCTTGAACGCACTATTCAAAATGGCAACCAGTTAACCTTTCAAGAAAAACAGTTTCAGATATAACAATGCAAGCTGAGCTGCCTTAGTTAAACCTACATTGGCAATTTCACCATAAACCTCATTGTAGCTGTTTGCAGAGGAGAAAAGGCCCAGGCATAAAGGTAACTGACTATTCATGTGTTTCCACTCAGGAGAAAATAACTTATAATAATTATAGTAACCATTTACAAACAAGCTGAAGAACCAACCAGAGATAGTATGTCAATGTGAAAAACAAACATTTAAAATTCAAGGCAATGAGAAACTGGAGAAATGACCATTCACTTGTTTTCGAACTCCTGATTTCATTCTCCTGCCACCCAGTTCCAATACCGTGAATGCCTATTTAAAATTGTCTGCCGAGAAACTTCTGAATGCACATTCTGAAATTGGGATTCCATAAGGCTTATACTCTCCATTCCCAATGGAAAGCCACCAAACAGATGTGGACTTCTCTGAAACATTTATGGTGATTTCCTGCTTTTTATATTCTCCTATATAAGGAAAATTGCCTACCCAGTGTTGTCTCTCTTTCATGGATGGTCATTAAGCGCCTACATATCAGAATTCAAACCCACTGAATCCTAATGGGTGCGCTGTCCTCTGAAGTCACTGCTGGGGACAAGCCATGGAGTTCATACACTTGCTTTGGTACACCTTTGTTCCTAACAGAGTCGGTCCTGCTTGATTTAGATTGTTGTCCTTCTTCTCTGGTATTTTGGTTACACGTTTCCCAGGGATTCAACAAATCAGGTCTTTCTTCAGATTCAAAACATAAGAGGAGTGACTTGACTAGAGATTCTAGTCCCCCATGGCCAACTTGAGGTATTTTCTTCTCACAGCTGTCAAGAGAAGTAGAGCGCATGCTCAAGTCATCATGAAGATCCTTGGCCAAGCTGCAAAGACTTTCAACACAATTCTTGAGAAGATTTTTGTCACTGTGGAATCCTATGCAAGGAGAAGAAAAAGTTCATTAAACTCTCCATTTTTCATGAGGTATTTATTACTCTTATATGACTCTACATATGTTTTAGGTCAAAGTAACCCTGTCAAGATAAATCTAAACTACTTAAGATTACTCAGCTTATCTGCTAAATAAATACCTGGGTTTTTAGGATCTAATTATTTAGGCAAAGTACTTATATATATTAAGTGAGAATACGACCATACAAGTTCCTATATTGGTAAATTAATGTCAAGGAAGTAGCATTAGTTAGACTTTAGCTAACAAATTAGACTAGAAATGAAAAGATGTCTGAGAGTTCTTAAACTATAAAATTTTGATTAATTACAAATTCTGTCCGGAGTATATACCTCTCAGTGCAGAAATAATAATTTGAATAGTTTGCTCCAAGCAATGTTTTAACTTCAGGAATTCTGGTGCAAGATTAACCATCTTCTTCAAATCTTGGTATCCAGAATTTTCTTGTTGTAGTTCAGTTCTGAAACTTTTCTGTAAATAAAGTTAATATTTTTAAAAATACATAATAAGTTACATGACAGTAAGGCTTAGTCAATACAATTTTAATCACCAGAATCTTATCTTCAGGAAAGAGAATGAGCTTACTTTCCTCACCATTGCTTAGTTCTGTTTCCACAAGCAAGACCAAAATACAATATTAACAATTACTGTTTTAAAAGAAATAAGAATTTTAAATTAATTTTATTTTTTAAATTAAAAAAAAAATTTTTTAACTAAGCTTTATGCCCAACATGGGGCTTGAACTCACAACCCCGAGATCAAGAATTGCATGCTCTACTGACTAAGCCAGGGCCCCAAGAATTTTAAATTAATTCAAAGTCCAATTGTTATATTACATGGGAATAAAATAAAACAACAGTAGCCTTTATTATCCAATAACATAAAAGATAAATTTCTTTAATTTTTTAGAGTTCAACTTTATATATCTCCCATTTGTTTTTAAATAAAAATTTTCAAGCCATAGATATTTTACTCCTTTTTGACACATTGATTATATACTGAGTTTATATTTTTCTATTTACTTGTAACATGAAAATAAAATAATTTGTCTAATTCACCTATATTTTAAAATCTTTAAGCATATTGATTATTAAACATAATTTTTTAGCCAATGACTATCCCAGGAAAAGCTGGCAGTTACTAAACCAGTAGCAGTAAGAAATAGATAAAATACATTAATATTAATCAATCTCTATACAATATCTTATCTGTTACTAAAACGAATAAGTTATGACATCCAAGAGGAAGTAGCTAGAGAGCTATGATACATGCTTCAACTAACCATGCACAAAGGAGTTAGCTGGCTAAGGATAAAAACTGAAATAAACATGTATCTATACTTAAACCAAACGAAATGCTAAGATACACCAAACAAAAGTAAACATTAAAGCTTCTCTTACTGTTTTCCACTCAGCAAACATGTTTTCAAGACATCCAATCAATCCCATGGCTTTAGCTTTCATCTGTTTGGCAACCTATAGAGAATATTGACATATTTTATTATATAATTATTTAAAAGTTTAAAAATCCGAGAACTCTATGGGACGAGACAGGGAAGAATTTTAGTCTAATAAGTCAAAAGACTCAAGTTCTATTATTGGGACTGCAATTAAATAGCTGGAGTACCTAAATCATGTAAGCAGAATTTCTTTCAAAATAAATTGCACATTGATTCTACATTAAATATAGATACACTCTGATGTTTGTGATAATAACAGCATTTTGTCTTACATTCAAATATCTATAGGAATGAAATTTCCAAGACTTCCCTTGGAAGAGGGTGAGGTAACTAATATATCAAGCAAATATTATGCTCTAAGAACTATATATACATTTTCCCCAGTTTCATTAAGATATATTTGACACGTAACACTGTATTAATTTAAAACTGTACAACATAATGATTCGATATACTGCAAAACGATCACCACAATAAGTTTAGTTAACATCCATTACTTCAGAGTTACAATTTTTTTTCTTGTGATGAGAATTTTTAAGATCGACTCTCTTAGCAACTTTCAAATATACAACATAGTAGTATTATTAACTATCATCACCATGTTGTACGTTACATCCCCAGGGCTTCTTTATCTTACAGCCGGAAGCTGGTACTTTTGGATCACCTGCACTCATTTGATGTACCACCCCCACCTCCACCCCCCACCCCTGCCTCAGGTAACCACTAAAGTATTCTGTTTCCATGTTTCTATGAGTTTAAGGTTTTTTTTTTTTTTAGATTCCACATATAAGTGAGATCGTAAAGTATTTTGTCTTCCTATGTCCGAGTGATTTCACTTACGTGTTTTATTATTTGCTTCTCAATTATAATTCTATGCTGCATATGCAATTATCTTCCGTTTACAAACAAGAAAACAGATTCCAAGCTCCTAAGACCCAGAGTCAGGGTGGGAACCCCCAGTCGCAATTTGAAGTCTTTGCTTTTGTACTGCTCAATGCTGCCCCCCTAAGGTGACTTCTCACTTAATTTCTTTCTTTTCTTTTTTTTTTTTTTAAAGATTTTATTTATTTATTTGACAGAGAGATAGCCAGAGTAGGAACACAAGCAGGGCGAGTGGGAGAGGGAGAAGCAGGCTTCCTGCTGAGCAGCGAGCCCGATGCAGGGCTCGATCCCAGGACCCCAGGATCACTTCCTAGTACTAGGAAGTACCTAGTACTTCCCTAGGTCTAACTTAAATTTCCTCTATGTGGAAGAAAGGAACACACAAATTCTTTTTTTCCCCTGGCTCCAGCTTTACAATTATAACTCCAATGCCTTATGTTTGAACCCATTTTCTATTTCTTCAGATTCTTCGTTTCTAAGAATATGATAAGCTAAAACCCCACCATGACTATACAGATGTGGCACATAGAAAATGAGAGAAAGAAAATGAGAGGAAGGGAGGGAGAAGTCTGCATGAAGATGCCAATAATACGAATTTTATGCAAGACGGGCCTGACCCTTTTACTGTGTAAGCTAACACCCGCACCCTGCTCTACTGCTTACTAATAAGCACATTCACATGCGTTACTTCGCCTCTGCTTTTCACTGACTTATTCTATACCCTCTTGCACTTACTGCCGGCGGAAATTCTACTTTGTAAACAGCGACAGATCATGTTTGAGGGATAAATGGTCCCGCTGCTGGGCACAACCCAGCTGGAGATGCCCGCAGTGGGCGGTATGAGCCCACTGTCTTCAAAGTTGCATTACAGAGCTGAAATCAGCCTCACGTCTCCTGGAACAGGACTAGACCCACATATCTTGATTTCACGGCAAAATGAGCTCCTTTTGAATGCGTTTTTATTTTAAAAACAAATTAACACAAAGTGAGAAAGGCAAACATACCGAGAGAACAAGCGCAAGCAAGCGGAGGCAGCTAAGATCTGCCGGGCACTGTGTCTAGCATTTTCCTGTCCACTGTTCTTAATTTCCCATAATTCTCAGAACAATCTTATGAAGTACATATGACCATCCTCACTTTTTAAATGCAACAAGTGAGGCCCAGGTAAGCAGCTCATGGCTACACAGGAAGCAGGAGAGCAATTTAACATTCAGTATTTTTTCCAGTTCGGGGCCAGTTTGGGCAGAGATGAACCCATGTAGCCCTTTAGTCTGAGGAAAGGGATGGAGATCCCCTCTGGCATACATGGAAAATTTCTCCCCTGATAAGGAAGCTAGACACACATTAATGAAAAGGTTTTGCTAAAAGGAAAAAAAAGTATCTAACTTAGTCGATGCTGTCCTGGAAAGGAGTCCGAGGGGTGGAAGATAACAGTCCTCCACCTGACTGACTTTCCTAGATCAATCAGTATGTATGTAAATGAGTACCCGCCCTAGTGGGGATGAGTCAGCAAACACATTATCCCCCATGCAGCTCCATTGCAGCTGACGGACTCCCGAAAAAGACAGGAAAGGGCAGAGACGGTTTTAACAAGAAGTTGTTACAAGATTCTAGAACAGACAGGGCTCTGAGACTCACTGCCACAAAGATTGGAACTCATCTTCTGAGTCCCCAATTTACTAATAATAACTCTCAATAAAGAAAGTTAACATGAACTATGATTTACAAACCTTATTTTTGTAGCATGCTGAGTTTCGGAGTCAATCAAGTAGGTAGAATATAAAACCCTGGCTCAGGACGACTGGACAAGGTCCTGCAGCTCAGTGACATGCATAGGAACACAAATAATTCCTCCCTTCCAAGTGGGGAGGTTCACCACTATTCTATGTAGAGCACCTAGCCCCATGCGTGTGCTGGGAGATTATTTAATAAATAAGTGACTCACAACCTAGGACATAAGTATTATTACATATGACAGGTGAAGAAACAGAGTCGGAGCATCGACTTGATAAATGATCGCTGAAAAATGACAGGTTTTAAACACAGTGCCACCTCTAAGACAGCAGCTGGTTTTATGCTTTAAGGTTAGTTAGCTGGAGAGGGTGGGGAGGAAGCTTATTTTCGGAGGTCACTCAAATCTTTGTGGATTCTGTACCTTGATATGAAATAACAGATGTGACTGCCTCTGGCAAAATATTTAGTTTAAAATATTACATCAATAAACGGTAGTTTGCATTCTTAAGCGGAAAAGATCAGGAAGAAACAGACAAGCAGAAAGTGAACACTAGATGTCACTGCCATACTCCATTCTGCTCTGGAGCTTCTCCACAGACTGCTCACAGCCGATAACTGACAGATCTAGTGAAAGTACAGAACAGAACAGAGGCCGCAGTAACTCAAGAGTAACTTGGGGAAATAGCACCATGACATAATGATCACAATCAGCCTTTTCAATTAAAAAAAAAAAATTCGGCACAAATTAAAATACATAAATTTATAAGAATCCAATTTAGTTGAATTAAACTGTTTTTTAAAAATCAACCTTATAGACCATCTGGTACTATATAGAATGTTCTTTTATTCCTCTTACCTCGTTTTGGGTACATTGCCTTAAGAGTTCATGTTGAAGTTCTTTTGCTTTTTCTATCCCAGAATCTAATAGGATCTTCATTCCTAAGCCTATACCATCACAAAGAGCATCCACGAAATCCTCCTAGAAAAAGTTTTTAAGCATTAAGTGGAAAACCCAGGTTTTATATTTTTAAAAAATATAAAATAATTAAGTTATATTTTCTGCTTATTTTAGGACTATAGTAAGTTCCAAGTTTATTAAATTCAACTAAGGCTGGAATAAAAACAGTCTATAAGAAAATCTGTAATCTAGCATTCCACATATAACATGTAATAAGAGATGTCTGTCTGAGGGAGGTGGGCTAGATGGGTGATGGGTATTAAGGAGGGCACCCGTTGTGCTGAGCACTGGGTGTTGTATGTAAGTGATGAACCACTGAGTTCTACTCCAGAAACCAATATTGCACTGTAAGTAAAATTTAAATTAAAAAAAAAAAGAATGTCATCTTAGGACACTGTGTTGCTAGAACACAGTAACATTCTAATATAATACTATGTTTTCAATGGCATGAATACTTAAAGCAAGCAAATACAAATTTTCTAGAATTGTAGAGTTCTTTATGTGTTGATTGGCGGAGCAAACCCTCCAGAGTAGGTACCTATCATCAGAGCAAAGATTCAAAAGACAAAGTGAACCAGAATTATCAGTACATTTAACCAACTCAGACTGAAACCGTTTTAAATCATATTGCCAAACTATTAAAAGTATGAACTATTTTAAAATAAAAACAGCTTATCATGTTTAGTGATACTATTATCAGAAGTCTACACTGTTCCCTCAGGCGAAGTCTTTCAAAACTAATATTACCAAATTACCTGAACACTGGCAGCCTTGTTGCTACTATTTTCCAGAAAATGCAGCTTGCTCCCTTTAAGAACTGCTAACTGTCCCACATACTTTACAGCTTGTTGTACAATTTGGATTATTTTCTTTTGAGCCTCCTTTACCATTGATGAGATATCTGAACAACATCCCTATAAAACAAAAATGGATCAGTATATCAGACACATGAGATTACAAACAGAGGTAAAGAAAAGACCAGAAAAGCAATTTGAAGAAAACAAATTCTGCATTCATTGATACAGTGACTATGCTTCATAAAATCTCAGTCAGAATCAGAAAACATGCAACCCTGTAGCTACTAACGATAATAAGATGACTGGAATACAGCTTCTACCCTCAAAGACCTTACACCCTAATAGGAGACCTAAGACAAGTATGCAATTAACTAGATAAAAGACAGAAGCAATAAGTGAATGGTCCACACCAAAAAAGGGAACAAAATGGTGGCTCTTTTTTGCCTTTGAACTTTTCCCATCCTAGTAGCCATCTGAAAGAGGGTTATTGAAGATACTTTCTCTTCTCAGCAGAGAAGAAAGAGGAAAGGGAAGTGAAAGGGGGAAAAACAAGCCTTCAACAAAAGGCTTCTACACCATAGTACGCATGCCCAAGAGGAATGAGGAGGTGCCCCGCCGAGGTTTTCTTTCTGTTACCTGCCGACTATAGTGATTCTTCAGAATTCTTTTCTTGGCTTGCTTTCTGGGCCATGCTTATAATATTGCTACAAGGTAGGAATTCTCAAACCACACTTAGGTAGGAAGTATAGTCACTAAATTCAGTTTTGTCAACTTAAGTCTCTCCTGAGCTTGGTCTAATCTCCCCTTCAAGTTACCTCTTCTCTCCATCCTTGATTCCTTACGTAAAACATTTCCCATAGGGCTATAGTCATAACCCCTAAGTTAAGTTCAAAGTGTTCTTCCTAGAGGACGAAAAGAAGGGAAGAAACTACATACCAGTTACTCTAATATGTACTTTCTTGTAACATCCATCCATCTGGTCCTCTACCTTGCCAGATAGGCACTGTTATTTTTATTTTCCCAATGAGAAAATGGGGAGACTTAAAAAGTTAAGCAATTTGCCAAAGGACAGAGAACTAATTTAGCATGCATTCAAAAAGGATTTCCAAATGCCAATAGTGGGTTTTGGGGTTTTTTCTGTTCCTGAACTGCCTCTAAAATCTAAGAGCCAACTAAGTATATCTCACACTCTCTTTTCCACCACAACTCCTCAACTAGCTTCCTTCTCCAGGTTCAAGCATAAGTCAGACTCTCAGGTTTTGGTTCCCCAGCTTTGCTCTCTGGCCAGTCTTCCCTTTCATTTTCATGGCTCTATGCTATCAGAGCATTTCCTTCATCTATCACTTCACCCATACCTGTTTGTAGCCCGCCTCTCTGTCCTAGGGTCATTCTCTTTCCTCACTGCTTATATCCAAAGTGACCCTTCATCCAGTGTGAATTTATAATTAATCCAATAACAAGTATCCAACCGAGTATCTATCATATGATGAGTCCTTGTGAATAAAGGACTCTTAGCCCCTCTAACTGCCCGAAGGTTACTGCCCATTGAGGTGTGTAGGTTTATAAATATGTTAATATTAAAAGGCATTATAGGTGAAGTACAGGATTATCAGAAAAACAAATAAGAGAAATGCCTAACCAAGTCATGGGGAGACCCAGAAAAACCTCCTAGGGAAGAATAATGGACAATTAAAAATAAACATTTGATTTCAATTTGACTAGTTAGATTACCCAAACAAACATTTCAAAATCCTATCAAGTAAATAGCCCATTCAGGAAGTATTTGATACAACTAACTTTTACTACAATAATAGAATGTAGAAAGTCTTTTGGTGGGCACAAAAACATAAAATTTGTTCAAACATTCTGGAACATTTTGTTATGAAGCAAAGTCACCCATTTTAAAAAATGAAACCTATCCCTTTTGGTATTTGCATATCGGCTCCCCTCATATATTCAAGAAATTCTTTCTTTTTTTTTTTTTTAAGATTTTATTTATTTAGAGAGAAAGAGTACATGCATGCATGCACAAGCAGGGTAAGGGCAGAGGGAGAGGGAGGGAGAAAATCCTAAGCAGACTCCACACTGAACGCAGAGCCTGACACAAGGCTTGATCTCATGACCCTAAGATCATGACCTAATCAAGAATTGGATGCTTAACCGACTCGGCCACCCAGGCGCCTCTATTCAAAGAATTCTTATGGAGGAGTTCACTGAAACGGTGGATGACTAGGTATGATCTAATATCAAATTCCCCACTTCTTCTGTAGTAATAGAATCCTTGATTTTCCACTAGGTATGTAGCTGTCCAGAATAAAAAGTACATTCCCCAATAATACTTGTAACTAGATATGGTCATGTGATGAAGTTCTGGCCAAAGATATATAGAGAGAAATGTCATATGGAAATTTCCAGAAACTTCCCTTCTCTTTGACCCTTCCCTTCTTTGTCACTTCTTCCACCCTGCTGCACTGAACTCAGACAGAGCTCCACCAATATGGTGGACCATGAAATAAAGGGCCATGCTTTAGGCTTGTTAGAAGGGTGTACTGGAAGGAGCTTGGATCTCAAGAAGTGGACCACAGCCACCATGCCTACTTCCAGATTTTATATGACAGAGAGTAAGCTTTTAGCTTACTTCTTCTTCAGAGCCAAGTCTAATCTCACTTGATATAAGGTAAACAGAAAAAAAAAATTATTTTCCTTGCCTGTACATCACCGGGCTTGTGACTAATTCAGCATAAGCTGAAACCCAATACATAACCAAAGCCAAGACTTTGCCTTTTTCCCCATAGCCATTACTGAGGACTAGCATAGTAGCATACACATAGTAAAGAGCATGAACTCTAGACCCAAGACTGCCTGGGTTCAAATCCTAACCCTATCACTTACTGGTTATATATGTAACATTGGATAGTCTACATATCCTTTACCTCCATTTCATCATTTATAAAATGGTGATTAATAACAGTATCCACTTCTGAAGTTGTTATGAGAATTAAATGAGCTAATATTTGTAAATCACTGAGAACTCTTAGTGCCTGGCACAGAGGCCATAAACAACAAACAATTATAGAAAACCACAGTTTCAGAATTGCAAAACAGAAATCACTTCTGAAAATCCTACAGATCTAATTTTGGGGAAGATGCAGACAGTAGGTCAATAAATAGTTGCTGAATAAATGAATTCTTCAAATGAAAATCAGCAAATCAATTTACCTGCAAAAATAATTGTAAGTAGCCTCCTAGTTTTTTAACCTCTTGTCTCAATTCATCTTCAAGTCTTGCTGTGCTGGTACAAGGCAGAGTATCATTTAGCCAATGTTTGATCAGCACCACAAGCTGCTCAAAAGCACATGTGACCTGGATAGTAAGTGCCTGGATTGCTCGATCAGAAGAGAACACTTTGAAAGAAGAAGGAAAATTACTGGAAGAAATAATCTCCAGATAAAAGAACTCATATATGATCACCATTAAAACATTTTAGCATAGTCAGAAAATGCATGTGAAATGTGACAGTCATTTAGAAGAAAACATAATGTGCAGAAAATAATCATTCATGTAAGTTAATAAAGCAGTAAAGTTGCTTACAGTTATCTTGACTTTCTTCATCTTGTTCTTCATGAGCTTTGGAAATGGCAAATAGCCCGTGATAAATTTTAAGAAAATTATTAATCAGGCTGTCTGCCATGGTTTTTTCTTCATCATAACTCTGTCCAAGAAAATCTAAGGATGACCCAATCAATTCTTTGCAAATTCCAGGAAGAAAAGATTCTGCTGAACTTGAGTAAATAGTGCTCGATTTCTCCAGTAAGCCTATATCAGTAGAAAATAGCCACCTTAAGCCTACTTTTCAGGCACCATAGTTCCAAACAAATGTATTAATGCAAGCATATTATAGACTCATTGATCAGTAAATTCAAAGTAGGCTATTCTTATTTCAATGCATTCTTACTTCTATAAGCCAAAGTGAAAACAGAATTCTAAAAAGGAGTCAATTAATCTCTCAGTGGAATCAATCCATAGGTTAGTAGTTCCTCAGCCACAATACAGACAATGCAAATAAACTAAGTAACCATTGGTTTAATCCCTTCCTTATTTACTTTTTGGGAACACCTAGGAAACTCTGAATTAGTGAAAACAATGGCAGTTACATGAAAAATAATATAAACATAATAAATATAAATATCATAATATAAATAATTTAATTCATAAGCTGAAAGTGTAGGCAATACTAAAGCAAACTATATTAAAAGGAATGTCTCAATAGGTCTACTTTATACTGGTTTCTTCTCTAGGCATACTGTAATCAAAATAGGCTAAAGCCAATGATTATGTACAGTTAATATATCACATCTCGGTGAGACAGACTTTCAGCATAATTTTCTAAGCACTGTCCAAACCAGAAGTAAATGGAAATAGTTCGAAGAGCTCATATGGAGCCTCTGGAAATAACTATACTGGAATGCTAACTCATGAGTATAATGATTGTCATTTAATAAACAAGATTATTTTTTCAGTCCAGTTCATAGGTGATTAAACAGCAAACTAAAAGGAAGGTAGAATAAAGGCAAAGGGTGGGGACTAATAAGGGTCTAGGACAGGGGAGCTTGGCTGGCTCAGTCAGTAGAGCATGTGACTCTTGATCTCGGGGTCGTGAGTTTGAGCCCCAGGTTTGGGGAAGAGTTTACTTAAAAAACAAAACGAAATAAAAAGCATTTTTTTTAAAAAGAGTCTAGACCAAAGATAAGAATTTGATTTGGGAAGAGAAAAAAAGAAAAGCTACAAAATGCAAAGCTCTATCACTGTAGGGTACTAGTATCATGATGATGATAATGATAATACGATAGTCATCATGAGCAGTTAACAATATATTCTTTGTTTAAGAAGATAATGATGTTAATGCATTCTAAAATCCAGCATCAACATTTTAAAAAGCCTTGCAAAACTCTAGTTAAAAGTATGGCACTTAAGGTGAGAAGTTAGGACACTTGCTCAACTTCCCAGAGCCGCACTGTGCACCGTCCAGAGCCCCATGGCTGCCTGGGCAGGTTCATACTAAAGGCACATGTGGTTTCTGTTTCTCTCTTTGAAAACTGCAAACAAGCAAAGACCTCTTGTATTTTATTTAATTTTTAAATATGGCCCTTAAAAAAGACAGCTTTAATTTATCTGGAAAAATTATTTTTGTAAAACATCTTACTCTCAAATAATACTGAGTAATTAACTTGATACCACAGATATATAACCTTTTACTATGCTGGTAAACAAAAAGCCTACCCCTTGCTTTGTTTTACCTTAAACAAGTAATTATCTTCCTAAAACATAATTTTATGATTAAAAAGAAGCTTAATTTCTTTATTTTAAAGTCAAGATGAGCTACAGTTTCTTTCATGACTTCTTCTATTCCATTAATGCTATTATCAAATAGATTATTACATTACACGGTAACTTTAATTTTTTGTTTACTAAGGTATATAGCCTATAAAGTGTGTATGTCTTAAGTATACAGCTTATTGTTTTTACATGTGTGTACGCCCCCACTTAGATCAACGTGTACAAGGTGTCTACAACGGCATTCCAACAGGTGTCTGTCCTTTTGAGCCATTGTTCTATTCTGAACTACTCTGGCTTCTGTCATCATACATTAGTTCTTCAGCTTCATAGAAATATAATCATACAGTATCTACTTATTATCTGCTTGCTTTCACTCCATATAATGTTTTTGGGATTCATCCAGGTTGTTGAGTGAAACAGTCATTTGTTCTTCTTTATTGCTGTGTAGTGATCCACTGCCACCTGGTAGGCATTTAAATTATTACAGGTAGCTAGCTACACATGCAAATTTGCAGTGTGTGTGTATATATACACACACATACATATATATACAGTGTATATGTCCCCCTCTATAGGAAAATTAATGTTGTAATCCATATTCATATAAAATAATTATGACTGGAAAAATTCCTATAGCTTTTTATTTTAAACATTTTTTCACATTTGAATTAGCTACTCTACTAAAAGGCTTTGAAATAAATCACATAGCACACAATTTTAGACGTGGAAAGGGCCACCCAGCCCACTCGCTTCACTTTATAAAGAAAATGGAAACTTGTAGAAGGTGAAATGATTTGCATAAGAACATGAAACAAGGTAGTAATTGAGCCAGGACTTGATGCTTTTTTCAGTATACAAGAAAATTTGATGAAAAAATACCTGATGAATGGGAAGAATTCAAATTCTGAATTGGGTGGGCTTGTATATCATGTAAACAACCAGAAATTCTTCTATTCTTCATCAAGCTCCTGCTCCTAAAAAAAGATAAACCATAAGATTAGTGGTTATGTACTACATGGAATAATAATATTAAGAATATTCTTGGGGTGCCTGGGTGGTTCAGTTGGTTAAGTGTCTGCCTTCGCCTCAGGTCATGATCCCAGGATCCCGGGATCGAGCCCCGTATCAGGCTCCCTGCTCAGTGGGGAGTCTGCTTTTCCCTCTCCCTCTGCCCCTCCCCACTTGTGCTCTCTCTCGTGCTCTCTCTCAAATAAATAAATAAAATCTTTTTAAAAAAAGAATATTCTTAATTCTCTAAAGAAAATTGGTATGCAGGTGTGTGTTTTCTGTGGAAACATTTTCATCAAGAAATAGTTAAATTCATTTGGTTTATTAAGCAAGAACTTCACTATTTATAAGTATTGTTCTAAGAATATAGTAAATTAATTAAATGGAATACATATTTGTAGAATACTCCTATTTACAGGCTCTAGATACTGTGGTTAAACACAGGAAACATGGTTTCTGGGCTCACTGAACTTAAGGTCCATAGTAAAAGAGAGAAATTAGGCAAATAAGTACAATAAAGTGGTATGTCACGAGAACAGAGCATGCTCTGCTGGAGAGGAACTTGACCTGGCCCAAGGAGTTGGGAGGGCCTCCTGGAACAATGACACTGAAGGATGCACAGGAGTTGGCCAAATGGAGAGGCAGGCTTGGGAAGGAGGGAAGACCCTGGAAGCCAATTAAGGAGGCTTGGATTTTATCCTGAGAATATCCTGGGAAAGATTCTAAACAAGGAAATGATCTAGGTAAATGAACATTCAAGTAAGCACTTGCTACACAGTGTGAAAAGCAGAATGCCTGTGAAGTGTAGCAGTAACACAAACGGAGGGAATGACTCTATCTTCACTCGCTCTTTCTGCTTTTTCCCTCAGCCTATAAAACCACTCGGATCTCTTCCTGGAGTGTGACTGACTGGCTGTCTAGCTGTTACTCATTCTTCCTAACTGCTACTGGAAAAAGCAGCCTACTTCCAGATTGCCATTCATCTGCCAATTTTCTAAACTCCAACTCCAGTCCTCATTATTTCAATGAAGCTCCTTGAGCTGTGAGGGGATGGATCCTTTGAAGTCTTTTTCCTAACAGAACTCTCTACTATCGTCGGCCACTCAAAGAAAAATACTATTTGTTGAAAAGATTGTTAAACAGAAACGTATTCCATCTGTAGTCATCTAAGTGTTTCAAATATATTTTCCCCCATGAATTCCTACAAGAAGAACACAGAAATATGACTGATAACAGGGAGAGGAAATATCAACTCTCAATATGACCGATAACAGGAAGAAGAAATATCAATTCTCAAAGGTAACAGTTTTTTGTACTTAAGGCCTGAAAGGAAAGGGTACATTATTACAGTAAGTCTAAACTAGGAAAACTTATTCTTCCAACACTATCATAGTTAAACAATGTTTAAACTCAAATAAAATGCTTGTCATTCTTTTTAAAGAATTTTTACTTAACCTCAGGGGAATTTTACTTTTAACTGTCCACAGGACGTATCAAAATTTATAGGCAGCCAAACCAGTCTATTTTGTCACAGAGCGGCTATGACATATCATTGCCTGGTAGCGGTTCCATAATTAAGAATCTGTCAGTGTTTCCATTACCTGCAGGCATTCTGAGTTTGCAATTCTGTCATAAACATTCTTACAAGGCTGAAACTTCATATACAAGGTCTCTGACCAAGAGCAATTCATTTTTTTTAAAATATGATACTTTTAAATTATAGAAGTTCTCAAGAAAACATCTCTACCAAATGAAAACACCTAATTTCAACATCTTAAAAAATATCAAAAGAAGTTTTAATTTTTTGGTAATAATTTAAACTTTTGTTGGTTCCCTAGTTATTAACCTAGAAGTTAGCAGAAAATAAGATGTAAATCACCAACTTTCAATAAGCGAAATTTTTTTTTTTTAAGATTTTATTTATTGGGGCGCCTGGGTGGCTCAGTTGGTTAAGTGACTGCCTTCGGCTCAGATCATGATCCTGGAGTCCTGAGATCAAGTCCCACATCTGGCTTCCTGCTCAGCAGGGAGTCTGCTTCTCCCGCTGATCTTCCCCCCCTCATGCTCTATCTCATTCTCTCTCTCAAATAAATAAAAAAATCTAAAAAAAAAAAGATTTTATTTATTTATTTGACAGAGAGAGACACAGAGAGGGAGGGAACACAAGCAGGGGGAGTGGGAGAGGGAGAAGCAGGCTTCCCGCGGAGCAGGGAGCCCGATGTGGGACTCGATTCCAGGACCCTGGGATCATGACCTGAGCCGAAGGCAGACGCTTAACCGACTAAGCCACCCAGGTGCCCCAATAAGCTAAAATTTTTATGTTCATTATTTTTAATTAGTTTTTAAAATTCAAGTATAATTAACATATAATGTGTTATATTAGTTTCAGGTGTACAATATAGTGATTCAACAATTCTATATATTTCTCGGTGTTCATCACAGTGAGTGTCCTCTCCATCCCCTTCACTATTTCACTCATCCTGTCACTCCCTGATGTTCGTTAATTATTATGCTCATACTGTGATCCATAATTCTAAGTACACCAAGTTTGTATCTGTTTATAATAAAATATAATAAGAAACCAGTATTATAAAATCTAAAGGGATTTACAAATCACGCTCTGATGAATTTGTAGTTCTGGTCTGAATTTTTGGGAGATTTATGTTACTCCAGGTTAGCTTAAGTACCCCAAGCCCTTCTGCCCAATTTCCCCCAGGGGCCATCTTTAGCTCATTTTGGAGAACCCAACACTGTTTTGAAGTCCTCAAGATAAATCACCTGAAGATATCACTATCTGTTTATTGGTATTAAATCAGAAATAAGATCCCCTCTGTAGTCCAAGATTTAATCTTACTTAGCACATACAAGCACCCAGTAATAAGAACTGCCATTTATTCAACACCTATCCACTGCAGTGGGAGTTCTACATACTTTATCTCTAATCCTTAGAACTACTTCACGACATCATCATCAGTCCCTTGGTGGTCATAGTAGAAGTAGCAGGAGAAGCAATTGTTTTTATATATGACCTCACTTAAACTTAGCAATAGGCTCTGTAGAAAAGATATGTATTATTGTCTCCATCTTAGAGATGAGAAAACTGAAGCCTGAAGATGTAATGTCACTTGCCCTTGGCTGCACTCAGCATAAACCACTCTATTATACATCTGAAACTAATATAATACTGTATGCTAATTATACTGGAATTAAAATAAAAAACTTAATGAAAAAAAGTTAGAACCTAGGCTCTGACATGAGCCTGTGACTTTTTTCTTATAGTACATTGTAGGGGATACAGATATGTATCTTATGCTCAAGGAACTCAGAATCTGTTTAAAGGACATACTTTGTATTTCTCTTAGCTTGAAATACACAGCTGTTACATACATAACATATAAGATAACATGTATCAATTATTATTTCTTGGCTATTTCTTACTGTAGCTTAGCAGTTACCATGAAGCAAACAGAACAGAGGTAACAGGAGGAAGAATCGCTCTAAAGTAGTTCCATCTCTGAAATTTTATGAGTTTAAAATAAGCATAGTCAAAAACAAGAAAGGCCCCAAAAGGTGTGGAAACTCAAAGAATTCTGAGCTGCAGCTGAAGGTGATGAAGTAAAAAAAAAAAAAAAAGAGAGAGAGAGAGAGAGAGATTTAACCAGAAAGATTCTGTTCTGATGCAACAGAGATGCAATATGGCGTAGCAGTCAAGAAAATCAGGATCTTTGGAGTCACTCAAACCTGGAGCTCTTCCTTTATCAGCTCGGTGAGTTTGGACAACTTATAACCTCTTTAAATCTTCAGCCTCTTCATCTGTAAAAGGTGGGTAATGACAGCACTAACCTCATAGTTTTGTGTAAGAACTACATGAGATAATACTTATAAAGCACTCAGTGAGTGTTCTTGATAATGATGATGCTTCTGTTGGATGGATGAATGCCACTGACTCTTACATCCTGAAATATCCCAAATCCCTCCTTCCAAGTTCTAGACCTGAATATATGCACTTGGATGTTCCCTGGGAATCTCAAGCTCATCGTGTTCAAAAATAAACTCATCTGACGCTCCATCTCAGGGAACACCACCTTCCCTTAGCCAGTCACCCTTGTTAGACAGGGATTCACCCTTGTTACACAGGGATTCACCCTTGAGCCCTTTATCACCCTCAACTCCACAGCTAGCCAAGTCCTTATTGATTCTTCCTCTTGAATATGTATAAAACCGGACTTTCCTTTCCAGTCCTTCTGCCTGACCTGATTTTGGGTCTTTATCAACTGTTCTTCTAGTTTCTTCAATTCCTGGTCTTCAGGACAGAGAGTATTTTTTATTCATCTTTGTATCCTCAAGAAATAGCAGACAGTAGTCTTGTTTCAAAACCAAATGAAGAAGTATTTATTTAAAAAGAAGTCTTTGTTTAAAAACCAAACTAAGCAGCTAAATTGGTTCCAAGACCAAGGCCTTTCTATTATACCATTTTGCCCCTCTGTAATCTAAGCATCTGAGGTCTAAACGGAACTAGTTTTTCCTTGAAAAGCATCTATTCACTGTGGAAGTCTTTTATGCTTTTAGTTAATAAGCAGCATTTGTCATATATAGAAGTTCTCTATCACCATGATTTATTCTTCTGTGGTGCTAACTTGACAGCATTTAAAGTTCTATAACTTATAATAAAATATCATAGAATATGCCAAGTTCTTGAAAAACGGTAATTTAAAAGTAATAAACACTATTCATTTTTATAGGAAATTAGATTTATGCTATTCTAAGTCGCTCTTAAGACTTATATGGTGAAATGCTGACCATTTTTGTTCCTATTCTAACTGACTGATATAAACAATTTAATGCCCCAAGTGCTGTAATGTGATCAGTAACATACTATTTCTCTTATATTACTGGGTTCCCTGCACAGACATATCCATTATGACAATAGATAGTTCTTTTAAAATAAGGAAATGATATATATATAAATGTATACCCAGAACAAAAAAAACAATAATAAATGTCTTTACCTCCTTCTAGAAAAAGAAGACACTGGTGCATTTGTAATGTCAGGTTCCCATTCATCTTCAGGATCACAAAAGACATCTTCACTCTTGTTACTATTATTACTCTAAGAAAAATAAAATATATGGTTTCTATTAATTTGGGTTAAAAAATGTTTAGCAACTGGGGCACCTGGGTGGCTCAGTTGGTTAAGCGTCTGCCTCCAGCTCAGGTCATGATCCTGGAGTCCTGGGATTGAACCCTGCACTGGACTCCCCGCTCAGCGGAGAGTCTGCTTCTCCCTCTCCCTCTGTCCCTCCACCAGCTCATGTTCTTTCTCTCTCTCTCAAATAAATTCTTTTAAAACATGTTTAGCAACTAAGAGAAAACAAAAGTTTAAATTTGTTACATTTAAAATAAAAAAATTAGCAAAATTACAGGTTATCTGGCAGAAGTCTAAAAATATCACATTCCTGGGGCACCTGGGTGGCTCAGTCAGTGAAGCATCCAACTCTTCATTTCAGCTCAGGTCATGATCTCAGGGACCTGAGATTGAGCACCGCATTGGGCTCTGCACTCAGCAGGGAGTCTGCTTGAGATTCTCTCTCTTCCTCTCCCTCTGCCCCCCCCACTCGCACTCTCTAATAAATAAATCTTAAAAATATCACATTCCTGACAAAACAAAAAATCAAGCACATGATGCTAGAAATTGTATTGAAAGAGCTCTACTAATAAAAGCACAGAAATCATTAAATGATTCAAAAACATAAACTTGGGATATAGAAGACAGTAAAAACAGAAAAGATAAATCCTCAGTAGAAAAATAAAAGAAGGGGGGTGGGGCAATGTGTTAGCCTGGTGATGGGTATTGAGGAGGGCACGTATTGAATGGAGCACTGGGTGTTATATGCAAACAATGAATCATCAAACACTACAACAAAAACTAATGATGTAATGTATGGTGACTAACATAACATAATAAAATTAAATTTAAAAAAAAAGAAAAAGAAAAGAATAATCTGAAAACATTAAAATTCAATCACTCCCTGGTCGAATATATTAATCATGATAATAATCTGAATTTTAAGTATTTAAAGTAATATTAATTAAAGTTCTAGCAAAATACTATACATATAGAGCTTGATTTGAAATAGTATAATTATATAGAAAAATAATCAAAGAATATTGCAACAGTTGAAAGTAGGAAGTAAGATAATAACAAAGTTAACTCACCTACCACATTTTAATGTATATGATAAGGCAAGAATGATCAAATGACTTCAATACAGTTTTTTTGTTGCTCTAATTACACAAGCAATCCACATTCATTGTAGGAAATTTGGAAATCCACATTCATTGTAGGAAATTTGGAAATTATTAACACGTATAAACACACAAAAGTGTACCCACTCACAAACCCATCATTTAGAGATAAACACTCAGTTCCTTTCAGTCTTTTTGGATTTCCTGTTATAAATAATATACCTTGCATCCCTGGAATTAACCTTACTTGATCATGGTATAAGTATTCTTTGAGTGTATCTTTGGGTTTGATTTACTGACATTTCTTTCTTTCTTTCTTTCTTTTTTTAAGATTTATGTATTTATTGGCAAGAGAGAGAGAGTTCATGCAGGGGGGAAGGGCAGAGAGAGAGGGAGAAAGAGAATCCCAAGCAGACTCTGAGCTGAGCACGGAGCCCGACACAGGGCTTGATCTCACAACCCTGAAATCAGGACCTGAGCCAAAACCAAGAGTCGGACACTTAACCAATTGCACCACCCAGGCACCCCTGATTTACTGACATTTTATTGAGGATTTTTATAGCTATGTTCATATGAAGATTGGTTTGTAATTCTCTTATGAATCATCTTTTCAGTTTTTGTGGTTTTTGTTTGGTTTGATTTTAATCGGTTAGGTTAGCATCATAACTGTGACACTTTATATCCTTTGCTATGTTCCAGAATAGTTGAAACACAATCATATTTACCTGTTATCTTATTTATTTATTTATTTATTTATTTTTTAAGTATGCTGTACACCCAAATGGGGCTTGAACTCATGACCCTGACATCAATAGTCACATCCTCTACCGAATGAGACAGCCAAGCACCCCTGTTCTTCAGTGGTTTAAAAAAGCTTCCCCATGGGGCACCTGGGTGGCTCAGTCATTAAGCGTCTGCCTTCGGCTCGGGTCATGATCCCAGGGTCCTGGGATTGAGTCCCACATCGGGCTCCCTGCTTATCCCTCTCCCACTCTCCCTGCTTGTGTTCCCTCTCTCGCTGTGTCTCTTTCTGTCAAATAAATACATAAAATCTTAAAAAAAAAAAAACCCTTTCCCATAAAACTGACTGGGAGCTGCACCTTTTTTTACAGTTTTTGTTTTTCTTTTTGAGGCTAATTTGTTGACAAACTTTTCAATTTATTGCATGGTTATTCATCCATTAAGCTAACTTTCATAATTGATCTTTTTCTAGAAAGTCTTTTCTTTCTAGAAAATTATAAAATTTATTAGCGTAAAGTTTTACATGTAAAATAATTTTTAAATGCTTTTGTTATCTTTGTATAAATGCCATTGCCTATTCCTAAAATCACATGTTCATCTTTTTAAAGAACCAGAGCTTGAATTTCATCTAATTTATCAATTATTGCTTTTATTTTTAATCATTCCTTCATTTGCTTTCCTTTGTTTTATTTTGTTATTTTCTAGATTGAATTAACTAGTTTATTTTCATTTTTCCATTACACGAATCAAACATTAAAGATATAATTTGACAGCATCCTGTAAGCTTTTACATATATCTCCATTATTGTTATATCTAAGTAGTACAGAATATAATTCTAAATAGAGTCACATTATTTAAAGGTGAGATATTTAATAGTAGCAACAATTTAATACATATTGCAACTATTTGTTAAATGCTTTAGGGATACTAAAATAATCATATGGAGAAAAATTACTTTTACATCCATACCTCTCACAATATACTATAACAAATTCTATGTGACTCACAGAGGTAAATGTTTACAAAAAATTAAAAGTAAACAGAGAAATGGACAATATTTCAGTAAGAAGATCTCCAGATTAATAGATTCAAATATACCAGATTTAAAATGGCTGTATAACAAAATAAAACCAAGAAAAAAGTCAGTGTAATCAGGAAAAAAATTATTATAAATACAAAATAAAGGTTTACTATCAAAATATGTTAGAACTTTTATAGACATATTAGTTCATTACCCATATTTCAAAAGTGTGAGTAAAATTCAAAGGACATGAACACATACTTTTACCTATAAAGAAACAAAGAGTCAAATCCTCAGATTCACTAATTATTAATACATAAATTAAAACAAACTGGTTGCATTGGCAAATGGCAATATTTCTGACAAGTAATTGTTATTGAGCATCAAAATGTAATAAAAAATCATATTTTGGGGTACCGTTTTAGAAAAGAGAAAACAAGGAAAGAAGATATTAAAAACTAATATGTGTAAGGATATTTTTAGTTCTATTAAAATATCAAACTGGTAACACCGAAAAGTGTAGCAATGGGGAAATGTAATTATGTAAAAATGCACATTATAGGAACTGAAGATAATTACAAATGATGCAAAGTGTGTTATATCTATCAAATTTCTTCTTCTCTTAAGCTTAAATGTAAAATCTTGAAAACACACAATTATAACTGTGAACAGATTCAGCACTAAATTTCTCTATTACAGGTATAACTATATTAAATAAAGAAAACCCCATCTACACACAAAAGTAAAGTAAACATACATAATTGTTAATATTGGTTGGTTTGGGTAATGTAAATTGCCTTTTCCTTTATTTGCCAAATTTTCTTTACTAAGAACACGTCACTTGTATATTTTTTATTTCAAAACTTTACAGAGATTTTAATAATATTCCAAACCTCATAAAGTTCTTTCATTGCTGCAAGCTTAGATTCAAACTTTTCCAGGCTCCAGAAAGTTGAGATCCCTAGTTGTAGGTTACGAACCCGAACAGAAGTATCAGAACTACTTCCTTTATCTGATATATCATGTCTGAAAGAAAAACCAAAGAAAAATGCTTATCCTAAAACATACATACCCATTTATAAGAGTTTTCTGAATTAGAATAATTTCCATAAAAATTCAGTCCACTGATTAAATCTTTCCATTATTAAGCATTTTTATTACAATGAAAAATCATGTCGAGTATATACTATATAAAAATAACTTCTTATATAAAAATTATAAAAATCAAATTCTAATTAGGCATATTTCCTTCCAAACATGTAATACTAGTAAGCTTGCAACTCAGAAGAAGCTAAGTAGGGCGCCTAGATGGCTCAGTCATTAAGCATCTGCCTTCGGCTCAGGTCATGATCCCAGGGTCCTGGGATTGAGCCCCGCATTGGGCTCCCTGCTCAGCAGGAAGCCTGCTTCTCCCTCTCCCACTCCCCTGCTGTGTTCCCTCTCTCGCTGTGTCCCTCTCTGTCAAATAAATAAATAAAATCTTTAAAAAAAAGAAGATAAGTAAATTCCTAAAACACCTAAAATTATTGTTTATAAAATATACTTATTTTATAAACATACTTAGTATATTTAGTATGGTATGTTAATTGTTGAAAGTCTTTTACTCCAGAGTGAGCTCTAAAGGGGAGTCTAAATGTGTCACTGGGAATTCTGATACTGTTCTCTCCTAGACAGGCAATATAGATACTATGTCTTTGCAGAAATTAAATTTAGAAAGCAATCATATGAAGGTCAGTTAGTTTAAAACAAAGAATTACTTTATAATTAGGCTAATAAATTGCTCACCTGCCAAAAACATAACATTTTTTAAATTTGCTGCTGATGGCATTGGCTTCCTGAATCATCATTGAGAGTTTCATGGAGCTCCAATTTGTCTGAACTAGTAGAAAACACACAGAGATGATTCAAAAAACATATATGAGCCCTGACTTATATCACTAGGCAGAACATCTCCTGAAAAAAAAAATATTGATTTTAAATAAATGGTTTTAACTATTGCAGAAAGTATTTAAGTTACTTCTCCTCAAGCCTGAAATAAAATATTCTTCATGGAAAATGATATCTTTCACCTGTGGAGACACAGTAAAAAAACTGAAAGTGATATAGTACGTTGATACAGAAAGGATTTTGTAAGAGAGGAAATGCCAAAGACAATGCTTTGTCTCCTAATATCTTTAAATATTTTTTTCTGATTAATTTTTTTCTTAATTTCTAATTTATTTAAAGTATTGGGTAAAGCATACTACAGCCTTACTTATATAGAACCACAATCCTTTTTTATTTTGCCTGAAAATTAAAACAAACAAACATATATTTCAGGACATCAAAACAAAAATGGGAAATAATTTGGCCACAATTCCATTTTCCTAATTTAAAATTAAAATTTTATCATATTTTCTATATCACCCAAATTTATCACCAATTTCCCATCACAACACTTCTTTGAAAGGATAAAATTCATTATACACATGGTAAAAAAAAGCAAGTATTCATTGCAAGACCCTGTTTTTAGGCTCTAAGAAGAATAAAAAGATGTATTAGTAAATGTATTTACTTACCTCTTACAACAGATATAACAAGCATTAATAGTTTCAGATTTATTTAAAAATAGAAGTTATACAATACAACTACCAAGTATTCTTGCTAAAAATTTGAATCAGAATCTGACAGGCCTGAAGAAATAGCTACCATTTTATAAGGAATATAGGGGCAGAGGAACCTGTTAAGCAGCACCATGGAGCTACAACAGCAAGATCCAGAATGTGGGAAACTACAGGATAAATAACTTGATTTCTTCAATAAGCAAATTACAAGAGGAAGGAGAGAGATAAGAAAGGCAAATTTACAGATTAAGAGACTTAAAAAGGGGCACCTGGGTCACTCAGTCTGTTAAGCATCCCACTCTTGGTTTTGGCTAAGGTCGTGATCTCATCGGTCATGGGATCTGTCACTTTGGGCTCTGGGCTCAGCAGGGAGTCTGCTTGGGCCTTCTTTCCCTTTGCCCCTCCCCTACCCACTTGTGCTCTTGCTCGCTCTCTAAAATAAATAAATAATAAATAAATAAATAAATATTTTTTATAAAAATGGGGGTGCCTGGCTGGCTCAGTAGGTAAAGCATGTGACTCTTAATCTCGAGTTCAAGCCCCACTTTGGACGTGGAGCCTACTTGATAAACATGAAAAATAAACATAAAGAGATTTAGGGGCACCTGGGTTACTCAGTTGGTTAAGCATGTCTGACTCTTGCTTTCGGCTCAGGTTGTGATCTCAGGGTCCTGAGGTCGAGCCACGAGTCAGGCTCTGTGTTCAGCTCGGAGTCTGCTTGAGATTCTCTCTCTCTCCCTCTGCCCCGCCCCCCATCCCTGCTCACGCAGGCACTCTCCCTCTCTCTCTAAAATAAATAAATAAGTCTTTAAAAATAATAATAAAAAAAAGAAAATAAGACTTACAAGGCATATCTACCAAACACAATGTGTGGATCATGTTTGTATCCTGACTCAAACAAAAAAGATACAAAAAAATTGTATGGGAAAATTGAATGTAGACTAGAAATCTGATGAGTATAAGAAATTATTATTCATATTTTTAGGTTTGATAAAAATATCATGGTTATGCTTAAAGAGTGACAGAGAAAGACAGAAAAGAGAGTCCTTATCTAATGCAGAGATACATAGTGAAGTATTTACAGATCAAATGATATGATGTCTTGGAGTTGCTCCACAACAGTCCAGGGAGGAAAGGGGGCTGAGTACAGCCAGAACAAGACTGAACATGTGTTAGAAATTGCTGAAGTTGGATGATAAGTATGTAAGATTCTGTTGTAGTGACCTCTCTATTTTAAGAGTTTGTTTGAAATTTCCCATAATGAGAAAGTCATTAAAAACATGCCATGTTCTATACAGCAATGTAGAAGTATACACAAAAAATAACATCCAAGTGAAAAAGATGAAGTACCCAATGATTTAGTCGAATCTAGATGTAAGACCTAAAATATTAGAAGAGATTGCATTTTTAAAAACATGTTACACATTAAAGTATCACTTGAAATTTTGTTTACTATTTGCTTATGTAACTAAATATTCTAAAAACTGAATATTCTGAAACAATCATGCATACAAATTTATTTAGATCCAAAAAGGTCAGCAACATCCAGAATAAACCATTTTGAATACATAAAGGCAACCAACTCTAACATTTTAGTAATTATATCATAAGAAATAACATACACAAAACTTTAGAAAATGCCTGCTAAAATCATCATATACTCACTTAAAAAAGTTTTATCTCTATTACTTTGATTTTGCTGTAGTATTTGTACTTCTTTAGCAATTTTTTGCTTCTCAGTTTCTAAAGCTTCCAGAATTCTTGCATGGCGGATGCTGTGGTCTTCTAAAGCCTAATTGATATTTATTCACATAGACCCATACATGAAAATATACAAAGAGAGAAATTATAATTGATAATGGTAACACAGCATAATTAAACTTCATTTTACAGTACACGTTTTATTAAGCATACAAGGCCTTTAAAAAGTGATTTATAAAATATCTTTATAAAATCTGACCCCATAAAAAAATCATTGGGAATTTTTGATGACATAAATTAATCTTAATCTTCCCATTGACAGGAAGTTAAAAAACCTTTAGGGAAAAAAAAGAGAGAGAGAGAGAGAGAAAAAAACGCTCAAAAGAGCCCACATTCAAGAACATTTGTTGACCAAATAAAGTTTAAAAGACACCACAAAAACCTTATTTGCTGCAGAGACCTTATACTCCATTAATAATTACTGTTTTCAAGATTTAAACAGCTCTGTTTTTTCCTCTAAAACTCTCTCAGGTGGTTCACTAGCTACTTTGTGTCCTAGAATTAACTAGTTACATATTATCACGATATGATAGTATAAGAACTTTGGGGTTACTAGGGGTATTTTCTTCTACCCCCACTCTCACTACAAAACTTGGAAAAAAGAAAAATAAAATTGCTATTCAAGGACAAAACTTTGAGATTAAGATATAAGGAATCAAAGCAGAGATGAAAACAGTGCTGCTCAAACTTTAGTATTTGTCAAAATCCCATGCAAGACTTGTCAGAATAGATCTGGGCCCCAACTCCAGAGTTTCTGACTTAGGAGTTCTGGGGCCTAAGACTGCATTTCTAACAGTAATGCTGATGTTGCCGGACTAAAGACCATATTTTAACAACCATTAATATAAGAAGAAAGAATACCCAAGAAGGTTGATAAAAAGGTAACTCAAGATATTAAAATACTGACGATCTGGTTTTATACTTCAGTCTTCAGAACTGATTAATATGAGTCAGCCCCTGAAACATATCTCTGCCCTCACTGAGATGATAGAAGTTTCCGGGCCTGAGCTCATAAGACTAGGGTAATCAACACCCTACTCTGAGTTCTCTTAGGAGTCACTCAGGCAAGGCGACTGCTGGTCACACTTTCCATGGATGGATAATGCTTCATTCTGACATGAGGATGTGACCCAGTATAAGAGCTGTGCCTTTCTTCCTTCTACACATTGTACCCTAGCACCATGTCGTTCATTTACGTTACTTGGCCTGATGGATCACAGGATAGTTGTGGAGGCATAAAAGGGGAAAACTGTAATGGAACCAGCTCAAAATAAGAGCTCTGTCCCTTTCAAAATGTTTGTGTGTGTGATGATGTGTGAGCAGAGCTGGGAGCATTACCAGGTTGTAAGCTTTCAGGCAAGAAGAGCCCTTCTCGTAAAAAAATTAAAAAAAATAAATGAAATGATCTTAACTCCCCCAAAAAAAGAAAAAAAAAGAAGAAGAAGAAGAAGAGCCCTTCTCACCAGGAGACCCAGATTCGGCCATCTCCTCCTAGGTACCATGAGTTCTTTAAAAAAAAAAAAAAAAAAAAATCCTGCTGTTGCTCAGAGCCAACTATTTACAAAATGAAATTACCTGTTTTGCAGCCAAAGTCTCCATTTCTAATCGCTTTTTGTTGACATAGATTTCCTGTTCAAGTCGCTGTTTTGCCTTTTCTAATTCCTCAATTTTGTCATTAGCCTTTTGGTTATTTATTTCCTGGATTTTCTTCCTTTGAGCCTCTTCCTTCTTTAAAGAACAATAATAAAAAGTAACAGGCAAAAACACACAACCTTTTTTCAAAAAACAATATAAAAAATGTACAAGAGTCCATTTCTTTAATCAATGTATAAGAAATTGACTCATCAGTAGAAAAGTTGCCCTGTAGTTTTTCTACCTCATTCAGCTTGACTAATATAACTTAAAATAAGTATCACTAGTCAAACCTTCTAGAGCACGTTCCTCTAAAATGGGTTGTGGGAATGCAAGATGACCAGGAAACCCATAGAGAGCCATGGGCTCATGTAGGTGGAGGACAGAAGCTTCTCTATTTTTCTTCTTCTTCCAACACCCATTTGTCTACTACTAACTAGCTTCCTAAAGTAAAATTAAAGGGGGCCAAGACTCACTTGGCTTTGACTCTCTAGTCTTTGATATTCCCCCAGTTTCCTTCTAGGGATATTCTCAATTTTACAGTCAATACATCACTTAGGGTGCACGAGCAGAGAAAGAAAAAACCAATTCTGCCTTTTACCAGTTCTGCTTCCAATGCTTTTATTTTGCTTTCATAGGCAGCTTTTTGAGAAGAAAGCTCTTGCTGAGCCATTTCTTTTGCAATTTGGATTCCTTGCATCATTTCTTCCTTTGCTCTCAATTGTGCCTCTTTTATTTCTGCTTCAAGTCTACAAAGTAGCAAAATATTCACAGGATACATTGTCAAGAATCCTTTATATACCATAGTCGTTCTTAATCATATTAAATTGTTTTCATTAAACAAAAATTTAAAACTCAACATTTAATTTCTGACACTGTCAACAGTGTTTTAAATTTTTATTGCTTTTAGAATGGCTTACGCAAAACAGTATAAAAGGATGAAAATTTGCTTATTTCTTAGTTACTATAGCAGATGCCTGATATTTAAGTAAATATATTTTTCTAATCCTTTCTTTTTTTTTAAGATTTTATCCATTTATTTGAGATAGAGCGAGAGAAAGATCGCAAGCAGGGCGGAGGGGCAGAGAGAGAGGGAAATGCGGCTCCCCAAGAAGCAGGGAGCCCAATGCGGGGCTTGATCCCAGGACCAGGAGACCACGACCTGAGCCAAAGGCAGATGCCCAACCAACTGAGCCACCCAGGCATCCCTATATTTTTCTAATCTTAAAGAAAATAAGTTATATAAAAATATGATGTCATAGTGAACATTGCAGTAAACATTATAGTTAACATTACAGAAAACACATTAACGGTAATTTTTTTTTTGAGAGAGCACATGCATGCACGTGTGTGCGCATGCATGCACATAGTGCGGTAGGGGCTGAGGGAGAGGGTAAGAGCGAAATGTCAAGCAGACTCCAACTGAGGCAGAGCCCAAAACGGGGCTCAATCTCATAACCCTGAGGTCATGACCCAAGTTGAAATCAAGAGTTGGATGCTTAACCAATTAAGCCACCCAGATGCCCCAAAATAAGGGTATTTTATGTTTAACAATGGCTAGAACAAAAATCGTATTTCATATATCAATAACTTTTAATTCATGTTTAGGTCATAGGTTAGGGAAAACATTGAAATAACTCTAAAAATATTATGAGAGCTGATAAAATAGATTGTATATTTTCAACCATCTATAATAATTTGACATTTTGGTAAGTCAGAACATTAAATTAGGTTTGTCATCTTTCAATATATAAGTGAAAAGCATCAAGGAGTATAAAAAACTAAAAGCTTGTTTCTTTTAATAAAAGATTTGTTGATTTTAATAAAATCAATGCTCTAGGGGCACCTGGGTGGCTCAGTCAGTTAAGCGTCTGCTTTGGCTCAGGTCATGATCCCAGGGTCCTGGGATCAAGCCCCACGTTGAGCTCCCTGCTCAGTGGGGAGCCTTCTTCTCCCTCTCCTTCCTGCTTGTCCTCTCTCTCTCAAATAAATGAATAAAATCTTTAATAAAAATTTAAAAAAATAAAATCAATATTTTAGCAACTACACTGTACAGAAATTTCCATTTCCAATTTCACTGAAAAAAAGAATATCAAAAGAAAGAAGGCTAGTGGTGACCAGGGCCTGGGGGGAACAGGTGGGGGGTGGGGTTGAGGGGGACAATGGGGAGTCACAGTTTAATGGGGACAGAGTTTCAGTTTGGGATGATGAAGAAAGTTCTGGAGATGAACAGTTTGATGGTTGTACACACTGTCAATATACTTAATGCCCTTGAAATGTATATTTTAAAATGGTTAAAATAGTGAATATTATGTTACATATATTGTACCACAATTTTTTTTAAAAAAGAGCAAAAGCCAATTCAGACTTTTTAAAAGATAAGGTAGGATTAGCCCAGCCCATACTAGTCATTCTGATTCCTCCTCCTTTCATCCTCTCTGGTCATCAAGCATGGTTGAATCTTTCTCCTTAAGACCCTCTCTGACTCACCCACACTGCACTTCTCTTACTTCAACCATCTCTGAACAGCATTTGCAAGCTATACTTCTCTGCCCCGAACTGGTTTTCCAGACTTGGGTCATGGTGAGTTCTAAAACTATGATTCTGTCAGGTCTCTCTCTTGTCTGCCTAATATCATTAATGATTCCATATCCTTTAAGATAAAGTCCTAACTCTTTAGTATTTATTTATTTATACTTTACCAATTAGTTTACAAGGATACTGCTTAAATCAGAAATCCTACAATATTGCATGAGCTAAAGATGGGGCAAAGAAAACAAAAAGGTTACACTCCCCCATCCCGCTGGCTAACTTCCAACGGTCTCTGGGGACCCCATTCCAGGGGATGTCTTTTTGTCCCCTAGAAAACTTTGCTGATTCCTGGCTGGGACTGGTGCAGGACTCTGTCATGGCACCCCGTTACAACTATGTGTCAGCCCCATGAGATGATAAATTCCTCCAGTATAGTAGCTAAATTTCAGGTATTTTGTATTTCTAGTATAGTGATAGATTACATAATATCTGCTCAATAAACGTCTGCTAAATGAATGAATATACCAAGAGAAAAGATCATGTCACTAGAAATTAGCACCCAAAGAATTAACTGCCAGAGACTAGCACAATATGATTAACTCTCTCTTGTAGACCTCTCTCATGTTCTTACTATTTCATATCCACAAAAATACTTACTGTGATCTTTGTGCCATGAGCAACTCATTTTTTGCAAATTCAAAGTCTTTTGGACCCTCGCTTGTAAGAGTATCTCTACCGGATGGTCTTTTTCCTTTCTGGACTTCTACTGGATGATTAAATCTAAAATAATGATCTCCACCAAGAATCACCCGATCACCCTAAAGCACACAAAAAATTTACTACTTGAGGTGAGTCTGAACCAAAAACTTACATGGAACAAATAATTAAGTTCAGCACTTCAATACAGTCTAAGATTAGTAATAATAAATATAAAAATCATAGCAACTAACATTTATTAAATACTTTCTATATGTCAATCACTATGTTAAACACTTTCCATATATGTGATCTCATTTATGTCTCACAACAACCCAGTGAGATAGTACTATTATCTCGATTTGAGGAATGAGGAAGTTAAAGAGCACAGAGCTTAATAATAACAATAAGCATTCACTGAGCTTACAATTTGCAGACATTGTGTTAAGAACTGTAGATGGATTATTTCACTTAATCCTCTGCTGCCCCCAAAAGGTAGGATATATATGAAGTGACCAAGTGTCTTGGTTTGCCTGCAACAGACTGGTTTATGCCTGTTCTCTCAATGTAATTTTTTTTAAGCTTTATTTATTTAAGTAATCTCTACACCCGACATGGGGGTCAAACTCAGGACCCCAAGATCAAGAGTCACCTGCTCTTCCAGCTGAGCCAGCCAGGTGCCCCTCTCCCAATGTAATTATTAAAAATGTTCTCAACAGTGTCCTGACTTCAGTGATACACAATCACCCTAATTAAATAACTTTTTCCAAAAGTCACATAGCCAATAACCAGGGCTTACTTCCAAAGCTCAGCTCTTTACTAGACACATAATGGTGCTGTCAGTAGTCAGCTCTTCAGGTACTGGTTTATAGTGATTTAACTTTTATCTTTGCACAAATGAAGGTAATTAATGAATTAATAGAAAAGAGAATTTTAGAACTCTAAAGTCCTTAATCTAGTTCACTACTTTATCTTACAGAGGAGAAAACTGGGACTCACATAAATTAAACAACTTGCCCAAAGTCAAACAATTTGTTAGATTTTAGCACTGGCTAACTTACATGATGTAATACTGTGGATTCCAAAATATGTTTTCCATTTATATATGTCTTTGCTTCTCCAACTGGGATGATACTCACTATTCCATCAAAATTTTTTATAGTACTGTTAAGATAAGAAGTACATTGTTATAATTACAGGACAGATGAAAAAGAAAAAGGCAATACAAGATAATCCTGCTTGGATTATTCCTTTGGTGTTGATTCTTATCAATTTGTGACAAAAATAACTTAAAATTATTTTATTTTGCTCCAACTACATTTTGAAGTTTTGGCAAAAAAGCCTGAGCAATCCCATCCATCAGTGCTGGGAAGAATTTTCATTGCATGTATTTTAACCATAACTACTTTAAAAAAAATACTGACCCTCTCCCCAAAAATAAAACAAAATGAAATATAAATTCAAGGAAAAAACATTAGAATATTGACAATGGTTACATATGAATGAAACACTTTTAAGTGTTTTATTTTTTTAATTTCTGGTTTTATGTATGAGTTTTAAAGATGAAAAGAGACAAACATTTTCCTCTCATGAAAAGTAGGGTAATACAGAAGAAAGAAAAGCATGGAGATAAAAACACACTCCTTAGTCATCTAATTAACTGGACCCTGACACTATGGAAAATCAGTTATAAATGCTACATATTCCTTCAAGTCTTTTTATTTGGAGAATAGGAAAGACACTCCAAAGTCCAATTCATCTTTGGATTAAACTGACAGAGAGGGAAAAAACTGCAGCAAAAGCTGAGTCCTAACCCAAAACCTCTAGCTGTTGATTAGGCTCTAAGATCTATAATTAAAGAATAACAGTTCAGTTGTAGCACCTAGAGAAAAGAGTCTGGAAGGAATAGCTCACCCCTCAGCAGTATGTCCCTCCCACCAGTCTAGTGTTTTAACCAGGTAAAGGTTTCAACAGGATCTACTTGTTCTGATTCCTTCTCTCTCCTAGGTCTTTCAAAATTCCTTGGCCTGGCATCCTGAAACCTCCACAATCTGGCTTCACCACCAACATTCTTTATCCATGATTATTTCCCCATAAGAACCACATCTCACTCTTTTTTTTCCCCAAAAGATTATATATATGTGAGAGAGAGAGAGAGAGAGAGAGAGAGAGCAAGTGAGCACAAGCAGGGGGAGCAGCAGACTTCCTGCTGAGCAAGGAGTCCGATGTGGGACTTGATCCTAGAACCCTGGGATCATGACCTGAGCTAAAGGCAGATGCTTAACTGACTGAGCCACTCAAGTGTCCCAGAACCACATCTTACTCTTAATCATCCATATCAGTACCCTGAATTTGCCTTGACATCAGCTTCTCTCTTTTGAGTCATTTCTCCAACATAGGAAGAATGTTACCTCTCTCATCCTTCAAGGCCCAACTTAAATGCTAGAAGCTTATCTTTTTGGCTGAAGCAAGAAGTGGATTTTACTTCTAAGCATTAAGAATGCAAGTCCCATGTAACATTAATATATATTGATAGGTACTGAAGTTCTTTTATTCATTAAGCCCCCATGTGCCAGATAGGTCTCAGCAATGAACACAGACATGAAACCAATGGTCATGAAGTTCATGGTGTAGTGAGTAAGACAATAGTGACGAGTGTACTAAAAGGGGAAATACAGAGTGCCAGGCAAGCAGGGGACTTCGTACTCCCCTACTGGACTCCTAACACTTTGGGATTATGTTATGTATCTTTGTCACTGGTGTAAATAATACTACACTTATTTGTTATAGAAAACAGTTAACTAATAGAAGAACAAAAGGACCTGAAGAAGAAGGAGATTTGCATACCAGATATAAAGACATTATAAAGCTCAAATAATTAAGACTATGGAGTACTAGTGAGAAGAAAAAGACTTTGTTTTTGGTAATTTTTTATATGAACACTTCAGATCACAAAAGAACCAATATACTATTTAATATATGATATTAGCAGAATTGGTTATTCACATGAGAAATAAATGAATTCAGACCCCTACTTCACACCAAACAAAAAATTCTAGACTACTTAAGGGCTTAAATGTGAAAACAAAACTTCAAAACATCTAGAAGAAAAGTTAGGAGAGGGGCGCCTGGGTGGCTCGGTCAGTTAAGCATCCGCCTTCAGCTCAGGTCATGATCGTGGAGTCCTGGGATTGAACCCCACATCGGGCTCCCTGCTCAGTGGGGAGTCTGCTTCTCCCTCTACCCTACCCCCCTGCTTGTGATCTGTCTCTCTGTCTCTCCCTCTCTCTAATAAATAAATAAAATCTTTAAAAAAGAAAAACAGAAATGAAAAGTTAGGAGAACATCTCTATGACCTCAGTGTGGAAAGGATTTCTTAAACAAGACCACAGTTGTTGTAATGGGAAAAGACTGATGCTGTGTACTACAATAAAACAAAGAGCTTTGAACCAATCATAAGGCACCAAGAGAGAGTGAAAAGATAAGCCACCCACTGGAAAAAAGACACTTGCAACAAATAAAACAAAGGCTTGGCAATCAGAATATATAAAGAACTCTTATAAATTACTAAGAAAAAAACAAACAATCCAACTGAAACATGGACAAAAGACATGAACAGGCAAGTCCTAGAAGAGCAAACTAAAATAACCAATAAATACATGAAGAGATTATTAGTCAAAGAAACGCAAAATGAATCCACAGTGAGATAACATATCATGTTCACTAGACTGGCATAAATTCAAGTCTGCCAGTACCAAGTGTTGCCAAGGATGTGGAGTAATAGACACTCTCAATGGTGTGGAAGTAAAAATTCATAATCATTTTGGAAAATAATGTGAAGTTACCAAGTAAAGTTGAATAAGACATACCCTACAACCTAATATCTCAAGTATTTTTAGATATAAATTAAGAGTGTTTCCCGAACTTTAAAAATTATTATTATAGCATAATTAGGAAATTGTAATATTTATACAGCAGATTGTGGTCAATAGAGAGTTTGCTCATAGTTAGACATGACTAGTCTGGTAGGTAAGGCCTCCTAAGTTCCTACTGGCTAACCATTAAGGGCTCATATCTCAGTTTATCATCTGGGAAACTCACTCTAGAGAAACTCTTCACATTTGTACCAAGAGATATGTATACGAATATGCATAGCAATATTGTGATACCAAAATTTAGAGACAACCCAAATGTCTATCAAGAGACAGATTGTAATAATTTAAAGGTAGATAAATGCACACAGTAAGATACTTCACAGCAGTAAAAATAAAAGAACATCAAAATGAATGAATCTTGAAAACAACATGAAGCCAAAGCAGTTTGCATAAACTATCACCCCAACAATATGTATATAATCATTCAATTCATATGAATAAAATTCACATGAAACAAAAAATTTTTAATTTGTCAATTCAACCAAAAATCCTGCCATATAAGATGGATAGAAGTTTAATTTCATGCCAATGATTATAATTCCAGGAAAAGAAATGACCCCTCAACTAACAGATCACATACACCAAAACAGAAATAGCATTACATTCTACCTCATATTGACAGCAATTAACCTATCTTCCTTACAAAACACTCAGAATGTCTGTTTTTCTTGGCTAAAAGATGCATTGGAAGGATTATACCAAAGACTCAGTATAAATGAATGCTTCATGTGAAGGAAACCATACATATCAAGATACGGAAGCCTACTAAAAAAATGAACAGGAGCCTTTTTATTTTTAGAAGAATAACATACCAATGATCATCAGCAATCAGCACCCCAGATAACTGAATATCATGGCTTGAGTTTGGTTTATACTTTCCAACTGTCGTCGTTCCTTCTTTTATCATATATAATAGCATCTCTGATAGCTGAGGATCTTCATTGAGATTGACAAGGTTTGGCAAATGGTTGTCGATTTGAAATGTAATTCCTGCTTTCTAGTGAAAGTCAGAAAATAAATTAACCTTAACAAAAAGCAAATTATTAAATCCACCTAAAATAAATGGTCTACTTTAAACATTAAAATCACTGTATGTGAAGTCTCAATAAAGGTTTCTTAGAATCTCTCTTTCATGACTTCCCCATGACTGTAACCATCATACTTCTTGGACTTTTAAGCTATGTTGCCCTTTCTTTGACCTCACAATCCGTCACCCTCAAACTGTGCCTTTTCTTACTGATGGTCTTTAGAATGGATCAGTTCCTTTTGTTGCATCTTTGCTGCCCTCACCTTACTTCAGACCCTTATTACCTCATACTTGAACTACTGCAGCAGCTGCCTGATTGCCCTGTCAATAATTTATCGTTTTCAGTTCATCTTACATCCTACACCAAATCAATTCTCCTGAAAGGGTATTCTCAAAATGTCAACTCCCCAGTCAAACATTTTCAATCACTTCTCTCTTCCTACAAGATAAAACTCAAATCACTTAGCCTGAAAATCAATAAACTAAACATAACATGCCCTGCCCATTTTATCTCTGTATGACCGTATACAAACTGCCGCTCCAGTGAATCTGATCTGCACACCTTCTTCCGAGCACACCTTAAACTTTTGCACCTTTACTCTCATACAGTTTTCCTTTCCTAGAATGCACTCTTCCTTTTTTCTACCTATCAAAATCTTACCCAGGTTTCAAAGCCAAATCTTCAAAACTCAAATCTCACCTCTTCGTGAGGCTGGACTCACCATTCCCAAGAAATATTCCCCCTTCCTCTCAATTCTTATAGTACTCTGTCTACCAGTCATTCGAAATATTTCCTTTACCGCCAATACCTTTGCTCTTGACCCGAGCTCTCTAATCTCTTTTAGAACCTCATTCCATTAAGGAGTTTTGATTCCTATAAAAAAGTTTGTGTCTTCCAAACTTTATTTTTTACTTATTTTTTTTAAAGATTTTTTTTATTTATTCATTTGAGAGAGAGAATGAGATAGAGAGAGAGCATGAGAGGGGAGAGGGTCAGAGGGAGAAGCAGACTCCCTGCTGAGCAGGGAGCCCGATGTGGGACTCGATCCCGGGACTCCAGGATCATGACCTGAGCCGAAGGCAGTCGCTTAACCAACTGAGCCACCCAGGCGCCCCGTCTTCCATCCTTTAAAGAAACAAAACCAAAATGAACGAAACAAAACTTCCCCACAATCTCACAGCCCCTTTCTCTGACTTCTCACTAGAGGTTTTCAGAGTTTACATGTATGGCTCTATCTCCTTAGTCACTCCTCAACCCACTGTCATCTGGCTTCTTTCACCACTACGATGACTTCATAATTTCACAATGCAATGCGCACATCTCAGAAACCTGGGCATCATTCTTGACTTTTCCATTTTCTCAACATACACACACATCCAAAAATACCCTCTGAGCCTATCAATTTTAATTCCTTTCTCTCTTTTGAATCCAACTCCTCCACTAGCCATTCCCACTGCCACTGCCTTACTCAAGCTCTCACCACCTCTGGCCTTCACCATGGCAACAGCCTCCTAGATGAATAACCTTCCCAGCCAGCATCAGTCTTTCCTCCCTCAAATCCACCATTACCAGAAGAATCTATTTAAAACACAAGTCTGCTCATGTCACTTCCTTTCCATTTAAAACCCTTCAGTGGCTCCCAGTCACCTAAATTTAAGTTCCTCACTATGTCATGATCTGAATCTTCCATCTCTCTCCAGTCCAATCTCTGTCACCAGCACTAATATACAAGTTCTGTATTCTGTGGACATCCAAGCTGGGCTGTCCCTTCATGCTTCTGAACATGGGATTCCTTGCTTAGAAATCTTGACTTCAGTAGCCTAACAAAATCTCGCTTAGTTGTCCCTTTCTCTTTGAAGTCCTCCTTAATAACCATCCTCATCAAAGTTAATTACTCCCTCCTGTCTCCTGCTTCTCTTCCTTTTACATGCTTTTCATTGCCTTAGGTTGAACCATATTGGACTCCCGGTGTTCAACCATTTCTTACCTAAAAAATGGCAGCATCATATGGTTCAACCTAGTCAAGTCACACTGCATTTCAGTCATCTATTTACATTGAAAACCTCCCTTTAGATTACATGCTCTTTGAGGGCCAAAACTACATTTTATTCACCTTGGCCTACCCCATGCCTGGCACAGAAAAAATATTTAATATTTGTTGAACCAAAGTGAATAGAATTAGATGGTTTGTTTATATTTTAACTTTCCAACATAGCTATGGGCTCTAAGTATATTAGAATCTTGATCTCAACACTCCTTTATACTATTTCTCTTTATGGTATTGCTTGGCATAGAGTCAGTATGCAAGGAGTATTTGAGAAATTAGATTTACATATTTACTATTATCTTTATTTAATTTCCAAATCAGTTTAGAGAGTTGAAATGATACCTGTAACTCCTTTGTTTCTTGAAGTTTTCTTCTTTCAGCTTGTTCAAATTTTTCTTTCCATGCTCTTTCCAAAGACAAAATAATAGAGTTAAAAATACCCAGATGCATAAGATTGAGAATTAAAGACAATCAATAAAGATTAAGAAACCACTTAGGAATATTTAAAATATGATAGTCTGGGGATGGACTGCTCTATTCATACAAAAAGTACGAAAACAGAGCCACAGATCCCTCCTAAAGTCCTCCCTCTCCACCAATCCCAGCCCCACCAGTCCAAGGATTCCAGGCAACACACTGACATCTAAAATATTGACTATATTCCACCTTTGCATTTCTGCCATGTCTCTCTCCTGTTGATGCAGTTTCATTCTTAAGGATGTTATTTCTTGCCGGCACAGCCTATATCTGTCAGGGTCAATATTTCGACTGTTTCTTTGAGCAGCTTTTAGCTTTTCGATTTCTGCTTTCAATTCTAAATATTTGTAAAAAGATGCATGATTAATAACATTTGATATATAATCATTACCACAGTAGGCATAATCCTCCAATCTTATTTCAAGTTTTAAATATTATTAAATAAAATAGAATATTTACAGAAATCAATTTTACTTTACTTACATTACCTATACATTTCTACTTAGTCTTAACCTGAAAAACTGCTCCCATCTTTATGAATTTCCCCCTCATAAGTTGTATGGCCATATAATGTGTTGTTCAAAGTGGGACACTTTTGAGAAGCACATTATTAATCACACTGATGGAGCAGACATAAACCAGGATTGTCCCAAGGCATACCTTACTTATAAAGACATGTTGGATAAAAATCAAAGATTTTTCAAGCTGGAGTTCAGAAGACTTATTTTTAATGAAAATAGCCCTATTTGTGAAAGAGAGGGGAATCTAAAAGGGAGACGATGGGCTGTGATACAGCCAATTCATTCTTCTCTGGCCTGCTTGCCTGAAGACCATTCATCCTCTGCTGCTCAAAAGGGTCAGAGGATAAAGGACTATGAAAAGATGGCAGTTCCACATATGCAAAGAGAAAACTGCTCAAATCAAGGTTCCTTGCAGGTACTCAAGTCCATCCTAAGCAGGTGATTCCCAAGAGATACACAGAAAGTAGTACTGAGCATAAATGAAGTTAGGCCTATGCTAAAAACTCAAGCCTTTAGATCACTGTCCTTTAGATGAATGAACTAAGCAAGAGTAGAGCTGATAAACAGAATGACAATGGAGGAAAGGTCATAAGAGGAAAAGGCTACACACATCCATGACTCAGTCTGTAAGATTATTTTTCTATGCTTGCTACTCCCCCTTTACCTACTCTCTATTTTCTGTCTTTTTCTGCTTGTTTTCCCCTTCCTAATTCTCCTTCCCATCGTCCTTCCATCTCTCTTCCACCATCATTGTAGAATGATGACTAGTATCTACTATAAGTAGGTATGAAAGAAAAATCTTTAATTTTCTTAAATTGTGTATTTTCATGACTGAAATTAATACTGAGATTTAACTGTTAAAAAATAATTAAATGTTTAGAAAAATCTTCACCTCTAATTAACTTAGCATTCATATCTTCATTTACTTTGGCGATATTGACTATCATACGGGCTTGGCTAGCATATCTCAGCGTGCTTAATGTTTCTTCAACGTTGTTGGCAGCAGGACTGATGGTGGCGATCATTGCAGTTTTGGAATTTCCACCCAGACTTTCTTTTAACAGCCTTCAAGGAAAAGAAGTTATAATTAGACTTTGTGTCTACAACAAGCTAATAGCAGTAATTATGTAGAAAGCACAAAACAAATTAATAGGGTATATAATACAGTATTATCCTCTTCACTCACATACCATTCAGGACTTTTTATTTATTTATTTATTTTAAGTAAACTCTACACCCAACGTGGGGGCTTGAACTCATGATCCTGACATCAAGAGTCACATGCTCTATGGGCTCAGCCAGCCATGCACACCACCATTCAGAACTTTCATGGTATTTGTACTTATTTTTAGATCTCATGAACATTTTGTTTTCTCTTATACTTTTTATAAGTATAAGAAACAGTAACTGAAGCAAAGATTTAAAATATGGTTAACCATCAGATATTTAGTAAGATACCACTTCCCACTCCACAGACTAGACTGTGAACTACTTCAGGAAAGAAACTATGTGTGTTAGTCATCTCTGTATTTCCAGTGCTACCACAACCTTTAGGAACAGGCGCTCAATAAATATTGAAAATGATGAATGGGCATATAAACAAAAATTTTGTTTTCTACAATATACAAAAGCCTTCTTTTAGAGGAAAAAGGATAGTATGAGACTAAAACACCTATCTTTATTAATACAGAATGAATTTCACTATTCTTAGCTTTCAAAAGGCACCAAGAAAAAAATCAGATTTTTCCTTAAATGTTTTCAGGTGACAACTACATTCCTATAAACCAATTATAAAGACACATAGCGGTTGGGGTGCCTGGGTGGCTCAGTTGGTTAACCGCTGACTCTTGATTTCGGCTCAGGTCATGATCTCAGGGTCCTGAGATCGAGCCCTGCATCAGGGCTATCAAGTAGAGATGCAGCCCTTATGAGAATTATATATTAATAGCTTATCACAATTGGATATTAAATCTATACAGATGTAATTTGAATGTAATGTATCTGATTAATGAAAACATATTCATTAGCAAAAATACTTATTGAACACTTAAATGCTAGTCAGTGGGTGCCACACAAAACGATTTCACTTTACACACATAGCAACATGTTTGGTGGTATCATATATGCTCAAACATTAAGCACTAAAAACATTAAGTATAGTACTAGTTGCTTACACTAATACAGCACATACTATGTATTAAGAGTATTATAGTAATTATTTAATCTTCACTATAACCCTAAAAGGTAGGTATTGTTATTATCCTCATATTACAGATGAAGAAAGAGACTAGAGCATTGAGTGATTTGCCAAAGTCACAGAGCTTATAGGATGCAGAGCCATGATTCAGATCCACATAGTTTGACTCTAGAATTCACACTGCTAACCACCTGTTCTCTGTCCCAAGGCTATATGAAGTCAGTCTATTGTTCTTTTCCCCATAGTATTCACTACATTTTATACAATTCTTTGTACTTCAAAAGATACTTGCCATGTAAGAACAGATTCACGGTAAGGAATAAAAACTCTCTTTCGGTTTGCTTGTTCAGAAAGTGCAGATATAACCTTTCCCAATGTGAGCAAGGACTTGTTAATACTCACACCTTCCTGTACACAAGATAAAAACATCTAATTTAAAATAACTGCTCAGCAATACATTTATTTCACAAAATATATTCCTTCCCTTATATAATTACTAAGTAAATATTTTCTTCTATAAACTACCAATTTTCTTACAACTCAAAATTTACTTATTTTCTTTGAAAAGTTAAACATAACGAAAAAGTAAAGATCTCTCTTTAAACCACAGCAATGCAGTCTATAAACTACAGATAGAGTTTTTGTTTTTGTTTGTAGTTGTTAAATATATTTAGTTTGCAATCTCCTAAAAATAATGCCCTAGGGAATAAGTCTTACTAAAATGAGAAAAGCCTCATTTTTAAAAAAAAAAAAGATTTTCTTTTAAGTAATCTCTACATCCGGCAACGGTTCGAACTCACAACCTCAAGATCAAAAATCACATGCTCTGCTGACTGAGCCAGCCAGGCACCCCAGAAAAGCCTCATATTTACCTTCAGTCGATCTCCATTAGTTTGAGCTGTGGAGCAGCGCTCACTGCCTGCCAGATCTATCAGGTTTATCCGACTCGTTATTCTGTGATCATGTTCCTCCCCTTCCACAGATTCCGTCTGCAGCAAAAGGACATTAATATAATATGTCATAAGTTTGTCCATGACTTGCTATCGATGTAAGTCTTGAAAGGGAAAGTTATACAAGATTACAAACCACTCATTTATTTTTGAAACTATCCCTTCACAAATGTGTGATCATTTATAATTTATAATAAACATTCGAGAATAGGGGCGCCTGGGTGGCTCAGTCGGTTAAGCATCTGCCTTCAGCTCAGGTCATGATCTCAGAATCCTGGGATTGAGCCCCACATCAGGCTCCCCCTGCTTGTGCTCTCTCTCTCTGTGTCAAATAAATAAATAAAATCTTTAAAAAAATAAAAATAAAAAAATAAACATTCAAGAATACATGGAGCAATGCTTGCATTATGCCAAAATAAAAGAAATTACTTCAAAGAGATAAAAACTCACAACTACCCGATTATATTAAGGAAACAACCATAAATAGAGCAAAAGCTTAGTGTACAAAGTTGTTATTTATCTCAGCATGAGAGGAGCAAGGCATTTATTTATTTAATTTATTTAAGTAATCTCGCCACCTAACATAGGGCTCGAACTCATGACCCCAAGATCAAGAATCACATGTTCTTTGGACTGAGCCGAAGGCACCCCAAAGGAGCTAGGTATTTAAAAGCAACATAAATGGCCCACAGTAGAGGAACTGGAGTAGTCAATGGAATATTATACAGCTACGAAAAATGATTATTTGGCAAAGAATTTTAATGGCATAAAATTATTGAAGATTTTGTAAATTTGTTTAAGTGTTATTGTAAAACAACTAAAACATTATACACCAAAATATTTAGAGGGGCTTTGAGTAGTGGAACCTATGGCTGAATTTTTAAAAATCTTTGACTTTCTGATATGTTTTTCCAAATACTGTACAATTACCATGTATTGAAAACATATCATACATTAATGTTATTATCATATTAATATCAATGATATCATAAATTAATAATCATATATTATTGTTTTCAAACAGTAAAAAAAAAAAATACTGCCATATATACCAAAAGTCATTCAGTTACTGTGTACACTAAAATCCAATTATGTTATATATTTATGTTATCATACTCTTAAAATAATCAAGAAAAGAATACCTTGGTCTGGGTCATCACCAGGGTGAAAACCGAATGCGATCGGGAGCTTTTATCATTCATACCAGTAGCAGCAGTCGCTCTTTGTTTATTTCCCAATTCTAGCCAACTCTTACAAGAAAGAAGAGAGGGAGGTCAGAACTGCAAACTGAAATTTATTGGAACAAATTAAGAAACAACAAAGTTAAGCATGTTTGGCAACATATACGCACTTTATAATCTGTTTATGAAATGAAATTAATAAATGTTTGTCATTTAATAATTTGTATTCCCTTTGTCAATTTTGCTTCCATCACAGATATCTGAATCAGGAAATTATACCTCTAAAAGACTATTTCAATAACACTAAGCTGCTATGATAGTCAATTTTTATTTTTACTTCAGAAGAGTAATTCCTTTGAAGTTTAATAAACAAAATCAGCTCATAACGAATTAATAAGAGTAACCTTTTATTTATGCAAGTAGCAATTAAGGAGAAATATTCTTATGAATACTTATGATTATGATCTATCTAATGGAAAGAAGATAAAACACAATCAATCTTACCTGGATATCAGAGTAAGAACTGACAACATTCCTATTTTTAAAAAGGAAAAAGACAAAATTGTTTTTACTGATAATTATACTTTTATTCTCATAAAATAATAATACTCTTTCAATTACATAATTACTCTCTGAAGACTACAACTGAATAATTCATAGATCATACTGACTCTCAACAGAATCTTTCGCTATCTCCATTCTGAAAGGGTAGAAAATGTTTCAATTTTACCAAAATTACGTCTTTTATTAATGAAGCAGTTTAGCTCTTAACATATTCAAGTCTAAATCATGAGACTGAAACATATACTTGACATATGTAGGGGTGGGTATGCTAGTATGTATGGGTCTCAACATAATCCCAGATTTATTGAATGGAGCTAAATCCATACCTAATCACTTTCCCTTTCCTTTAAGAAAGCATTTGGAGAGTTGAAAGATGAAGTAAACAACTCTTAGCATGTTTCACACTCTCAACACTAAACTCATTTTAGCACCTTCTCCCCTTTTCAGCTTAAAGTAATAGATATAAAAAGCAGCTCAAGAGGGAAGGCTTAACTTAATGGGGAAAGGTGATAAAAGGGAGAAAAATCAAATATTTCACACACAGTATAACTCAGGCACTTTACAGGTGCTGTGAAAGATATAAACAAATACAAAAACAAGAAGCTAACACTCTAGTTGGAAAGAGAGGAAAAATTAATTGAATACTATTAAGGGTAGGAGGTTAAATAATTATCCAGACTTTCAAAGTTGGGGAGGCAAATGAGAACAACATTCATTCTATTCATTACTTTTCTCCTCCTTGCTTTTGCTGAGCCAAACACTTACATTGACAAAGCTTCAACATATGGTCCAGAGACAGGATGCTCCCTTACTCTCAGCTAATAGAAGCAAACATTAGCATTATTAAGGGCATAACAAGTATTTCATATAAACACAATTTTAAATGATCTTTTCTTCTATATTTGGAGTTTAAGGCAAAGAGATTTGCCTTTACTTGATCCAGAGATAAATATAAAAGTTCTCACAAACACAAATCTGTAAATCATTGACACTGCTTCAGTATCACAAACTTTTCACAATATGCCACAGTTCACTGTAGCCTCAAATATCTTACTAGTTCTTATTCTTAAGACATGCCGTAGCCATTATCTCTATGCTTTTAAATATTAGCTCTCTAAAATATATTCAGTAAATTTCAGACAGTTAAAATTTTTTCCAGTTTTACACTATGTTTTAAACTTTGTAACTAGAAATTTAAAACACTTTTAAGTCAAAGAAGAAAATGCCAAGTTTAAGATTCTTTTTTTTTTTTTTAAGATTTTATTTATTTATTTGACAGAGAGAGACACAGCAAGAGAGGGAACACAAGCAGGGGGAGTAGGAGAGGGAGAAGCAGGCTTCCCACCAAGCAGGGAGCCCAATGCGGGGCTCGATCCCAGGACGCCGGGATCATGACCCGAGCCTAAGGCAGATGCTTAATGACTGAGCCACCCAGGTGCCCAAACACCTGGGATTTTGAATAAGTCAAGTGACCTCTTTAGATTTTAGTTTCTTGCTCTCCAATGTCCTTTTCAAAATTAAAAATTTTACATCCTTTTAAAGAAAGGACTTTATTTATTTGAGAGAGAGCATGCAAGCAGTGGGGACGGGGGGGAATGCAAAGGAAGAGAGAGAATCTCCAGCAGACTCTCTGCTGCACTGAGCGCGGAGCCCGATGAAGGGCTCAATCCCACAACCATGAGATCATGACCTGAATCAAAATCAAGAGTCGGAGGCTTAACCAATTGAGCCACCCACGCACCCCCAAAATTTTACATTTTGATAGCAGTTTTTAAAAAAGATTATGTAGGGGCGCCTGGGTGGCTCAGTCGGTTAAGCGTCTGCCTTCAGCTCAGATCATGGTCCGGGGTCCTGGGATCCAGCCCCGCATCGGGCTCCCTGCTCAGCAGGAAGCCTGCTTCTCCCTCTCCCACCCCCCTGCTTGTGTTCCCTCTCTCGCTGTCTCTGTCAAATAAATAAATAAAATCTTTAAAAAAAAAAAAAGATTATGTATTTGTGGAACTTCCTATTTCACAGAAAATATTATGTACAAGATACCAATTTACTAAATAATCTATTAAGATACATATTCTATAATAACAATACAATTTTTAAACTTCTACTGCTTTTTGGCTTTCAGGATTTTGTGTTTGATTTAAGTGGTCCAACTAAATCTTGAAACAAATATTTTATCTTTAATTTTGATACAGTATTTGCTTTAAAAGAGGCTAAATTTAATAATTTAATTTCCACTAACACTAATGTTTAGCTTATTTACTATTTACTCATTTAGACTGTAGATCCCAAGCATTTGCTATCATATAATAACAATTTTATTTATTTTTTTTAAAGATTTTATTTATTGGGGCACCTGGGTGGCTCAGTTGGTTAAGCAACTGCCTTCGGCTCAGGTCATGATCCCAGGGTCCTGGGATTGAGCCCCACATTGGGATCCCTGCTCAGTGGGGAATCTGCTTCTCCCTCTCCTGCTCCCCTGCTTGTGCGTGCTCTCTCTCTTTGTCAAATAAATAAGGATTTATTTCAGAGAGAGAGGGAGAGCACAGAGGGAGAGTGAGAAGCAGATTCCCCACTGAGCAGATAGCCTGATGCGGAACTCGATCCCAGGACCCTGAGATCACGATCCGAGCCAAAGGAAGACGCTTAATTGGCTGAGCCACTCAGGCGCCCCTAATAGCAATTTTAGTAAAATTGAAAGCCATATAGATCATCTTGAGAACTAGTATAACTATATGCATTTATAAAAACAAATTAAAAACAGATCATAAATTGTTTTAATCTTACTGGTTGCTTTCTCTGTCCGTTTTCGCCTTTACAAACCAGAAGGTCATGAATTTTTTCATTATATACTTCAAAAAAGCTCATTTCAAGGTGATAGCTGACCTAGTAGGAGGAATAGAAAGACAGCATGCAACTTATTTTAAAAATCCTTGCATTTTTTGCAAATTACATATCTGATAAGGTTCTAGGATCCAGAATATACAAAGGACTCTTACAACTCAACAGCAAAAAAAACAAACAACCCAATTTAAAAATGGGCAAAGGACTTGAACAGACATTTCTCCAAAGAAAGTAAGTTCTACTTACTAAGATCTCTCAAATGTTCAACCGTGCAGTCACTACCTTAGTCTAGCCCCTTGTCATGCCTTCCTTACACAGTTTACAAGTCCCACAACTGGTCTCTTTGCATCCAGTTCTAATTCCTTTCAATCCATTCTCCACACTGCAGCCAGAGCTATATTTTTTTTTTTAAAGAGCAAAGATGATCACTTGACTTCCCTGCTTAAAATACTTCCATAACTTTCTAGATTCCTGGAAGCAGGGGTCATAAAGTCCTTCACAAGCTGAGTTCTGCCTGCCTCTCTGGTTTCATCTTTTGTCACCCTTCACTCTCAAATTCCATGCTTAAAGCAAAGTAAACAATTTATAGATTCCCAAAGGCTCCCTACATTCTTGCTTTCAAAGCGTTGCACATGCTGCTCCTACTGCCTAGAATGTCCTTCCCCTCTTCACCAAGCTAATAACTGCTATGTTTCCTTCAAAAATAAGCTCAGTTGTCCCTCATCTAAGAAAACCTGGCTCCCTCTAATCTTATATATTCTCAAAGCACACTGTTCTTACTCCATCAGTATTTATTTTATTTAACAGTAAGTTGATTGTACTTGGTTATTTACTGATTCATTCCTTCTTTATACTCTCCTAACCACAGGGACTGGGTCTTTTAACTCCATATTCCCAAATCTTGCACAGTATTTCTTCAATTTCCCTTATCATAAGAATCACTAGGGGGAATGTACGAAAACTATAAATTCCCAGGTGTAGCCCAGATCAACTAAATCAGAATCTCCAGGAGAGATTTTTTTTTTAGCAAGTGTACACACACACACACACACACACACAATCAAACACACACACGAAAAACTGCCCCAACACATTTCTGGTAATTCTTACGATCAAGCAAATTTGGGGAAAAGTGATCTACTGTTCAGCAAACAGCGGATGCCCAGTAAATAGTGGCTGCATGTATGAATGAATAAGAGAAAAAGGAAGCCAGTACAGACTTTTCAGGTGTAGGGCAGCGTAAAGAGCATGGCTTTCGAAGCTGAATCTAGGTTGAAACTTCAGCTTCACTACTCTCTGCTTCATGTTGTTTTGAAGTTTATGTCTATTGTCCTTAGTTAAGTCTGTGTACCTACCTGACTACAAACATGTAACTACATAACTGCCACATTATAAGCCACTACACATACATAAAAGTAATAATTAAGCCAAAAAAGCTAGAGAAGACAGAAGAGATGATCCTTCTATCACTGCCCAACAAGGAGAATTTATTCTGAAATTTTGAATCTCCAACCTCTCATCCATACCACTGTTCCAAAGGAGAATGCCCTAGAACTTAAAATTACATCTTCCATTATTTCCTTAGTGGTGTTGACTCTGATTTTAATTTGACTGTTTCCTAGTCTAATATGAAGGCTTACAGATGAGAACATACCTCCTGAGTTTGTTTTTTGGCTACTTGAGCAAAAAGATCTTCACAAAACCTTGGAATTATTCCTGGTTCTTCACTAAGTCCCATCATCCTGGAAAATACATAATGCATGGCAGGGGTGGGGGTGGATAAAACTAATTAGTTTTTTAAAATTCTCTTTGGGGAAACGGGTTGGGGGAGTGAATGGGAAGCAAGCTAATTAAACTGTGTTATTAATAGCTAATAACCTAGGCTCTGAAGTCAGATCTTCCTGAGTTCAAATCTTGATCTCACCTCTTATTAGCTTTGTGACCTTAAACAAGATACTTAACCCCAGTAAACCTCAATTTCCTCTTCTATAAAATGGGAATAAATAAGAGGTATCTAATTCAGAGAGTTGTGAGAAAGTACAAGCAGAGCTTTTAATATATATATACCATTTATTAGATGACTACTTTTAATTCTCACAATAATATTTATAAAATAACCTCTCCAGGCTTGGGTTCACACAAGACATATTATGTACAGTAAAATGGGCCAATGACACTTACAAAGTAAACAGTATCTCCTGCATAAGCTGAAGCTCAGAGGTTAAGTAACGTGCCCAAGTTTGCACAGAACCAGTATATAAAATGGATGAGATTTGAGCCCAGATCTGTGTGGTTTCAAAACTACATTCTTTCTATCAAAACTACATCATTTCTCACCAAAGACTGAAACATTCTCAATAACTGTACTTGGAATAACACTTACGTATATGATTTTCCAGAGCCGGTCTGACCATAAGCAAAGAGACAGGTATTGTAGCCTTCAAAGGCACGCTCGAGGAGGGGTACTGCTAGTGTCTCATAAACAGTCGTCTGGCTAGCATAGTTGGGATGGCATTCATCAAAAGACCAGAATGCAACATCATAAATAAAATTATAAACTTGTTTCATGTCCGGATGTTCCACAGCTATTTCTTCCCCATTCATGAAGACCACCTGGGATGCTTTTTCAACCTTCTCTCTTTACAAAGAAGCACAGAGAAAAATATTAAGTTACTGTGATTATTTTGAGTATTATTCCATAGAATATAATAAGAACCTCAAAACTAGTTAAATACAACATTCCTCCAGAGCAAGAGAATTCTTTAGTTTTATGTGGAAAATGTAGACCAGCTAACATAATTATAGAGGGTTTCCAAATATAGATTTCCTACAGCTCCAGAACCACCACTTAAAGGGAAAATGGAGTCCCAGATCTCTTGTCCGAAAAATCATCCTACTTTTACCGGATTTCCCATCTTCTTCCTTTTTCTCTTGACCTCTCCCTTCTCCCATCCCACCCTCTATAATCTACCTATACTCTTCAGTCCAAATCTGGAAAATTTTTAATACATTTTAAAGATGTTTCAGAGGGGGCGCCTGGGTGGCTCAGATGGTTAAGCATCTGCCTTCGGCTCAGGTCATGATCCCAGGGTCCTGGGATCGAGTCCCGCATCGGGCTCCCTGCTCAGCAGGAGCCTGCTTCTCCCTCTGCTTCTCTCTCTCTCTCTCCCCCTCTCTGTCTCTCATGAATAAATAAATAAAATCTTTAAAAAAAAAAAAAGATGTTTCAGAGGTGCAGATCTATATAAACCTGACATGAAATGCAAATATAATTTCAACAAACTCAGTTAAATGTAAGTCTCAATCATAAATCTCTTTGGGCTACTGCCTACTGTTACTGTTAATCCAAAGGTCCTTCTGTTAGATTATCTCCCTTAAAGTCATGGATTTTCATGTGCATCCTTCTTCCAGCTCAGACTTAGGTAGAAATCTTTCACTTACTCTACATCTGCAGAAGAATATTATCAGTCCTTGTCTGGCCCAGATATCCCTTTTTGCCCCCAACTCTGCTTTAGATCACAATTTATTCTGGAATCCACCTGCCTCTTCAATGTGACAAGTGCCCCACCACCCCTGCTATCAGCCCAGTTTACATGGCTTGTCTGATGAGTCTATACTCAGGTACTTGGTTCCTTACTAAGTCATCCGTTGTGGGGTTTATTCCTACCAGCTCTGTTCTTTCTGTTGCCTCTCGTCCTATCGTGATCCTTGAGGCCTGTCTTTGAGGTTTCCCCATTCTCTCCAGCCAACTCACCCTCAGTTCCCTCACTTATCACTAACCCCACATCTTCATGAACAGCCTTTAAAGCACTGTATAACTTACCTTTTTTCAAACTAGGAGTTCCTTCCCCCACAGCAGCAGTCACCATATACTCTCACATCTTGCTTAGATATACGACAGAGTTAACAACTACGAACTCTGAAGTTTTTTCGCAGTCACCCCACAAAACATTCAAAAATAATTAAATGCCACATTCACATTTTGTCATGTCCATCTTTCTCAGCCCTACCTGTAATCTGTGACTATCTCACCCACAATCACTTTGGAGAGAGATTTTTTACCATCAACATCAAATCTAATAAATCACTGCATTTATAACTACTATATATCAGAGATGACAATGGGGATGATACTACGCTGGATGGAGTTTTGGAAGGACCTCTTTGGGGAATAAGTGACCTAACAAGTGCTCTTTTTAAGGGAAACACAGAGGAGCCAGCCATACATTGCAGATTTGAAAGCAGACTGCATTATAGACTTAAGTCATTCTGACGTTTTCAAAGCAGCAGATCTAAAGAAATTTACATTTGCAAAAGATGGTGATTTCAAAGTTTTAATTTTACACCCAATCATCAAAAATAATGAGGGTTCTACAACTAAACCTGAAATTTCTCTCTACATAGAAATGCCACCACCAAGCTTGAAGATGCATGAATGCACTCACTTTCCAAAGGCAGAGCGGAATTAGACACATTACATGTCAGTAGTTTGGCCTTAGATTTTAAAAGGTGTAACATACCTCTTGCTGAAAGGCCTCACACGTACTGCCACTGTCACTTGACTGTTCTCTACTTTTAAGGGGTCTGTTTCTATAGAGGTGTTCCGACCTGTTGTTTCCTCTTCAAGAAGGAGTGTATTTTCTTGTGACCTTTCCTTTTCATTTGCTAGAAGAGAACTTCTTGGCTTTTGTTTAACTTGGAGGCTAGGCACCCTATTTTTCAGTATCGATGCAGCTGGGCTTGTAAGCTGTGGCGTGCCACACTTCGGTGTCGATTTGTGTCCTACAATGTACTTTGTAGGTGTTCTTTTTTCTAAGCTTTCAAATTTATTTGAATTTTTTGCCATATCCTTCCCAATACTTCTATGATACAAGTTTCCTGTTCCTGGCACTTTGATGTTCAACTTGCTCTGAAGAGGCTTTGTTGCCAAGTGTCCGGATGGAACAACTTTAGTCTGACTCTGGGAATCAGTGGGTGCTCTATTACTTAAGTATTGAAGTGCGACATGTTCATTTGCCCCAAGGAGGGCAGAAAATGTTTCTTTGTGTTTTTCATCAGCCATCATTTCAATGTCTTTTCCGTCTTTGGCTAAAGGTACAAAAGATGCAACAGAAGGGTCTTTACCATTATTTACAATTGTTACCTTTCTCCTCGTTTCCAGGGAAGCACAATCATTTTCTGTTGGGTTTCCCACATTCTGTGTTGTTTTCCACTTTTCCACACAATCTGTTTGAGCTGTTTTCCACTTTTCCACAGAGTCTGTTTGAGCTGTTTTCCACTTTTCCACAGATTCTGTTTTAGCACGACGTTGTAATGTAAGACGTGTTTCTGCAGTTTTTTCAGTTGAGTCTCCCAACTCACTGCCACGCAAAGATGATTCTTTGTTCCTTGTAACTCTTCTCTGAAGTGCCAATCTACCTGCAGGGTCAGGGGTAAGAGGTACCTCTCCTGTTTTTTTACAGGCAGAAATCACATAAGTACTATTTATGTCTCTGATTTTACTTGCAGATCTCAATAATGGATCATCATTTTCACATTCTGACATACCCGAATTCAAATGCAGCTTACGTCTGCTACTATGGGTGAGGCTATTCAGTGATGAACTCTTTTGGGAAGAAGGTATACCAAGGATATCCCTGTTATTTCTATTATGTGCGGTGTATACTGACATTGTGGCAGCAAGTTGTTTTAAAAAAGAATGTTGGTGAAGAACCGAAGCTCTTCTTTAGATGTTCATTTGACTTCCAGCCATGTCTTATGTATCAGTTTCCAATTATCTGCTAAACTGTAAAAAAAAAAAAAAAAATTAGATTGTAAGACTATAAACAGGCATTAAAAAATATGAGAACTTTCCATTGTGAAAGTAACTTCCCAGAGGAATGAATACGTTAGAATAAATCACAATCTCCTCCTCAGATACTGTTCCCAAGCAGCTTCAGACAAATCTCTGCCTTCAAAGAGCTTATAATAATTATGCAACAAATATTTACTGAGGCCCTATTATGTGCCAGGCCCTCTGATAGATACTATGGATTTCAAAGACAAGACCCTGTTCCCATTTCCTTAGTCTAGAAGGAATACACAGATCACAGACTTCCATTATACCAGGACAAAGAGGCCAAGTGACTTAAAAGATATAAACAGTGCATGTCAAAGAAGATATTCGAATGGCCAATAAGCACATAAGAAGATGCTCAACATCACTAATCATTAGGGAAATGCAAATCAAAACTACAATGAGATACCACATCACACCCATTACGATGGCTACTAACAAAAAAGCAAGTGTTGGCAAGGACATGGAGAAATTTGTACCCTTGTGCACTACTGGCGGAAATGTAAAATGGCACAGCCACTGGGAAAATAGTATGGAAGTTCCTCAAAAAAACTAAAAATAGAATTACTATATGACCTAGAAATTCTATTTCTGGATTATCTAACCAAAAGAATTTTAAAAGCAGGGTCTTGGGGGCGCCTGGGTGGCTCAGATGGTTAAGCATCTGCCTTCGGCTCAGGTCCTGGTCCCAGGGTCCTGGGATCGAGCCCCACGTCGGACTCCCCGCTCAGCAGGGAGCCTGCTTCTCCCTCTCCCACTCCCCCTGCTCGTGTTCCCTCTCTCGCTGTGTCTCTCTCTGTCAAATAAATAAATAAAATCTTTAATAAATATATAAATAAATAAATAAAAGTAGTGTCTTGAAGAGACTTTTGTACGCCCATGTTCATAGCAGCATTATTCGCTATAGCTAAAACATGGAAGCAAACCAAGTGTCCATGGACTGATGAATGGCTTACCAAAATGTGGTATTTACATACCATGAAATATTATGCAGCCTTATAAAGAAATTCTGCAATATGCTACAACATGGATGAATCTTGAAGACATAATGCTAAGTGAAATAAGTCGTCACAAAAAGACAAATATTGTATGATTCCACTCACATGAGGTACTTGGAGTAGTTAAAATCATAAAAACAGAAAGTATAATGGTGGTTGCCAGGGGCTGAGGCCAGGGGAAAATGAGGAGTTACTGTTTAATAAGTACAGAGTTTCAGTTTTACAAGATGACAAAGGATTATGCGGATGGATGGATAGTAGTAATGTCTGCGCAACAATGTGAATGTATTTAAGGATATACACTTTAAAACGTATACGTAAAAACATAATACATGTTATGTGTATTTTAACACAATAAGGAAAAGACGGGGAGGAAGCGGGGGAGGAGGAATGTGCATGTCAGCAAAGATTTTTATTTAGTACTCTCTGTTTGCAGATTAGGAGAGGGACTAACAGAAACCCTGGCACCTAAATCGAAGACTGGATTAAAGCATTTGGTAATACCTGTTGAATGTATGTTAAATACAGGAATGCCTGGTGGAGATTAGTTTGAGAGGGGTCACAAACAGAGTATACCCAAATAAATACCATAGACAATAACTACAATAAGTAAATTAATTGCTTCTGTTGAGAAAAATTATGCAAGATTAGATAAGTAGACAGCTTGCCCTCTAGCAGTTAGACAACAAAGTAGAGGGGGTGTGTATATAAATATGTCAACAATATCTATCCAGCATTAATGGTTTAAAAGAAAAAGAACAGCAGTGACAGCTAAAAGGTCTGGCTTCTAGTCAACTCTGCACCAAACCAATAATATTGATGTAAACAAGTCTCTAAATTTGCATGCCTGGTTCTAACTTGTAAAATGACACTTGCTCAAACTATTCCATAGATACTGCTATGCAGGAATATAATAGAAGTTAACTTTTAAGTAATTTAAAGTTCTAAATAAGTAATAATCATTACCACCACCACCACCACCCCCCCAAAAAAGAAAAAAAAATCGTCAGGATATAAGCACCTGCCCTCAACCTTTTAACTAAAAATACAGAATGTTCCTATCACGGAAATAAATTTAAAGGCAAGAAGATTCTGGAAATTCTACCGCAGCTAAAAACTATTTGCTACTTACAAAATAGATAGCGCTTTTTGTTTGGGAAGTTTCGGTACCGGAGTTTAAAGAGGAGTGACATGAATAGAAAGAAGGAAATTAAGTCACAACCAGAACCAAAAGATTCCGGTGGATGGGTTCTCAGCTAGTCACTCCGAGGGGCTGGGACGGCGAGTGTACCTCTTAATGTGTACCCAAACGACTGGGCGAGCCTTTCAGTGGGTGAGGCTGCGGGCCGAGGGGCCCTGAAGTCCAGCTTCCCAGTCCCCACAGAGGTGCCGCCCGCGCGCGTTCTTCGGTGACCCCTTCGCCGCCAACCGGGATTTCGGGGCCGGTAGGGGACTCCGCGCTAAGGCCTCCGCTCGCACCTCAGCGGTCGCCGGTACAAAAAGCGCCCGCACGCCACCACAGCACAGATACTTCGCCCCTCTGCAGGGTTCCCCACTCTCGAAGACCTGGAGAATGTCCACACCACTCACAGCCTCCACCGCGGGCTCCCTCTGAGGCCGCAATTTGAATGGGCGCCCTGCTTTCTGATTGGCTGCCGGACGTCGCGTCGACGCCGCGCCCTCGCCTCCTCCCGCCCCCAGGAAGTGGTGCTCTTGGGGTAGCAAAGATTCTAAACACCAGACCCGCCCCCCATCTCCTAGGCAACGGGCCCACCCCTCCCCGGGCTCCGCTAAGTCGTGGAGCTTGGGCTCTTTTTAAATCCGACCCTTGGAAGGGGCTGGATTCTGAGTCGCACCGGGCAGCCGCTAAGATAAATTTTTATTTTTTTAAAGATATTTATTTGTTTATTTGACAGAGACAGAGATAGCGATAGCAGAAACACAAGTAGCAGGAGTGGGAGAGGGAGAGCAGGCTTCCCGCCGAGGAGGGAGCCCGATGTGGGACTCGATTCCAGGACCCTGGGACCATGACCTGAGCCCAAGGCAGACGCTTAAAGACTGAGCCACTCAGGCGCCCCGCTAAGATGAATTTTAAATAAGAAGAGTGTCAGTGACACTTTTGTCAATCCTCAGTCTAAAAAAAATCATGGTGTATCCACCTTACAATGAAGTTATAAAAATGGCTATTTGTCCTCAAGCTAAGCGTAATAATTAACGCGATTCTAGTATTTCCAATGCAAAGCAAGGAGATAGAAAGTGTACTAAATGTACATGGAACTGTTTCATTTAATCCTAAAAATTTTATGAGGCAAATAATATTATCCCCAGTTTCCAAACGAAGTTTAGAGTTAAACTTGTGAACAAGCAACCAGCAAGTAAGTGGTGTAACTAGAATTCCGAAGCCACTGTCATAAGATTACTCAGTTTCAATATATATTCCAATAAGATTTTGAAACACAAAAAAAGTAGCAAAAATACATTCCGAAATATAACGAGATCAATGGGAGGTCAAACAGATGTTATAAGGCAACAGTATTTTTATTTTAATTTTTTTCTTTTTGTTTAATTTTTTAATTTTTTTGAGCAACAGTATTTTTTCTTATTTTTTAAAAGATTTTATTTATTTATTTGTCAGAGAGAGAGAGATAGTGCAGAAGGCAGGTGTGGGGGGGAAGCGGCAGGCAGAGGGAGAAGGAGGCTCCCCACTGAGCAAGGAGCCCAATGTGGGACTTGATTCCAGGACCCTGGGATCATGACCTGAGCTGAAGGCAGACGCTTCACCGACTGAGCCACCCAGGTGGCCCAAGCAACAGTATTTTTTAAAGGGCAAAAAGTGCAGGTAATGGTAATGTATTCAATGGGATAGAAGGGAAACCAAAAGTGGCTCCAACTATATAGAAAAACTGAATGGATGATAACGTACTTATTCTAAAACTCACTCTAAAAATCATTCTAAAATTAACGAAGATTAAGTTATAGAGAAACCATCAGAAAAAAGAATATATTTATCAGATCTACGGGAAATAGTCATTCAGTTTATAAGTAAAAGATATGGCAAAGGGAAAGACTGACAATCTCAAATACATAAAAATTTTAAACATGTATAATTGGAAGTAATAATGAAATGATAAAATATAAGCTAACAAGAAAAATATATTAAATATGACAGATGCAAACATTTATTTCAGTTTTACAAAGAAAATAAGTTTATAAGTAGAATAAGAAAAGAAACAATATAAAAATGGGCAATGGTATTTCACACAAAAAGAATCAACCTACACACAAAAATAATTCATTTAAAAATAGAACGTAAACGGGCGCCTGGGTGGCTCAGTTGGTTAAGTGACTGCCGTCGGCTCAGGTCATGATCCTGGAGTCCTGGGATCAAGTCCCACATTGGGCTCCCCGCTCAGCGGGGAGTCTGCTTCTCCTTCTGACCCTCCTCCCTCTCGTGCTCTCTCTCATTCTCTCTCTCTCAAATAAATAAAATCTTTAAAAAAAAAATTGAATGTAAACGCCCAATCATTAAATGCAAGTGTAAAAAATATAGGTACAAGTAAAAAAAATGTTTTCTACATTTCAGTGCTGGTGATTTTGCATCAAAATTAAATGTATAGGGGCATTTGGCTGGCTCAGTTGGTAGAGCATGCAACTCCTGATCTCAGGGTCATGCGTTCGAGCCCCACGTTAGGTAGTTGGGTATAGAGATTACTTTAAAAAATAATACAATCTACGGGCACCTGGGTGACTCAGTCAGTTAAGCATTTGCCTTCCGCTCAGGTCATGATCCCAGGGTCCTGGGATGGAGTCCCAGGGCAGGCTCCCTGTCAGGGAGTC